GCTTTAGCAATTCTAGGTCTTTGATGGTTCCATATAAATTTTATAATGATTTGTTCTAGTTCTATGAAATATGTCCTGGGTAATTGGATAGGGATTGCATTAAATCTGTAGATTGCCTTGGGCAGTGTGACCGCCACATCTTCTTTATGCAGTTATTTGTCAATGGACGTTTAGGTTGTTTCCATATCTTGGCTATTGTAAATAGTGCTGCTATGAACATTGGGGTGCATGTATCTTTTTGAATTAGAGTTCCCTCAGGATGTATGTCCAAGAGTGGGACTGCTGGGTCATATGGTAAGTCTATTGTTAGTTTTTGGGGGGATCTCCATTCTGTTTTCCATAATGGCTGCACCAAACTGCATTCCCACCAACAGTGTAGGAAGGTGCCCTTTTCTTTACACCCTCTCCAGCATTTATTGTCAGTTACATTGCATAGCCTCAATGTACAGTAAATGCTCAATAAATTTGGCTATTATGTCTTCTGTAATGAGGAAAATTTTATTAGGAAGAGAATATTTGGAATTGAGGCAGTGTTGGCTATAGTAGGAGATGGCATACTGCCGTAGCTTCTGGGAAATCCAAACGGTGGTGGTTAGAGCTAGTCTAAAATTGTTGGAGCTAATTTCAAGTTTTGGATCCAGACCTTTGAATGTGAGAAAGATCTCACATAGTGTGTAGGAAGTGCTGCACTGAGGATTTGCATTAAGAACAAATGTTTAGGTTAAATGACTTTCATGTATTCTAATGTGACTGATTACAAAAGTGCCAACTCTAGATATAAATTCTACCAAAACCAATCAGTAAATGTCAAAAGTAGCCAAGAAATGAAAACTCTCATTTTTCCTGGAGAAAATCAGAAACCTGCTCCCTCTCCCCTCAAACCAAAACTCTGTATCTCCTCTAAAATAATGTGATAAGGAGTGAGAGACAGGAAGAGGCAGAATGATCAAGAAAAAGAACACTGGGACTTTGGAAATAAAGGTTCAAGTCTCAGCTACAGTCTCTTCAGCAAGCAGTGTTGGGAAAGCTGGACAGCTGCACTTAAACTGATGAAGTTAGAACACTCCCTCACAATCATATACAAAAGTAAACTCAAAATGGCTTAAAGACTTAAACATAAGACACTATAAACTTCTTAGAAGAAACGATAGACAAAACAACAATAGCAACCTACTTCAAAGTCCTGTCATTCAGCAATTGCTTGAGTCCCTGCTTGTGTTAGATGTTATTCTAGTAACTAGAGCTACAGAGGTGAGCAATACACATGAAGCTGCTGTCCTCACGGTGGGTACATTTTAAAGGGGGTAGAGAGGGGGGAAAGTAAACAGATAGAAAAAATATATAACACAGTAATGGGGCAGGAGGGGATTGGGGTAGGGGCACTGGCGTGTTTGGATGACCAGGGAAGAGCTTTCTTAAGAGGGAACATTTAACTGAAACCTGGATCAAGAGAGGAAGCTTGCAGGGCTCCTGGAGGATGATCAGTGATCTATAATGTTTCTTGAAGTCTGCTGTGTTTCCTTTCACATCAAATTAAGGCATAAAATCATAGATTTTAAAGCTTTCCACAAATTGCCATCTCTCACCAGATACAGAAATAGATGCTATCTCTCATAACGCTGCAAACCTATGTCTCTGGTTTTTTTCAAATTCACGATTACTCAAAAGTTGACAATAAAGTTAACCATTCTTAAAATTTAAAAAAATTGGAATTTTTTTTTGCTAGGAAATTTTACTCCTATATATATATATAGAAGTATATATATATATATACACACATACATATATATACATATATATATGTATATATACACATATATATACATACTTTTTTTACTCCAATAAATTTTCAAGAAAATTTTGTCAGTAGAGAATGTTGAGGGTTTTTTAACATAGAAAATTATATAATAATACAGAGGATGGCAGCTAACATGGAGCTGGCTTCCTGTGTGTACCAAGCCCTTTCTAAGATCAGTATTATCTCATGTAATGTTACAGTGGTGTTTTTGGTTTAATGATCTTTATTTTGCCCAGCAGAAATTGAGACAGAGAGATGAAATGATTCATTAAAACCATACTGACTGAGTTAGTCTCACACCCAAGCCTGTCTCCCTACCCCCAGTTAACACAGCAAATTACTATCTTTTAGCCCAGTCAACTTCAGAAGACCCTCAGGGAGAATTTGAGAGGAGATACGTATTCCCAACTGGTATATATAAAAGCACAGAAGAGTCGCAGTCATCACTTGAAGATGGTAAAGAAAATGTTGCTAATGTTATTGGCCAAATTTTTCCTATTGTGAACAGATTAGCTGATAAGTATATTATTCTTCCACTGCAGTGTTCACTCATGAATCTCAAAGAAAAAGCTCTTTAGAGGACAGTGAAGGAGCCGGAATGAAGTCATATGATAAAGATGGTAACGAAATGAGCTGCTAATGCCATGCTTATGGATTTCTATTTATTTCATTTTTTATCATGTTTATATTAAAGCTTAAAATTACACCCCTCCCCCTTCAAATAGGAAACTTAAGGAGAAAAAGAGTTAGCTTCTCTCTTACAGATTTAAACTGAGCAGCTATAGAACTGAAATAGATTTATTACAATGAAGAAGAAAACATAGAAACTGAGGAGTCTAATACAATTAGAACCCACACCAATGTTTTCTGTTTCCAAACATGACACAGTTATTATCATATAATAATAAATTATTTCTTCAAAGGTCTCTGCTTCCCTTAAAATGTTGGAATCAGAACATCAGAAACCCAGAGTTATAGCTGTGAAATGTTATCATTAGTGCTGCTTACCCTTATAAAACTTTTCCATTCATATTTTAGCATAATTGAGAGTATACAGTATAAACTATTTTTATTTTTTTATAGTATTACATTTAATTATATTATTTATATTACTTCATTAGAAAACACTTAACCCTCATTTTCAATTACTGCACAATTTATTTATAGGTAATAGTTTTAACTAGTTCTTTACAGTGAAAACTTTTTTTGCTATTACAAATAACGCTCCAGTGAATTTTTCACGTAAAATTTGGTCTGCATGTTCACGTGAATGGAGTCATTAGTTTAATGAATATGAAGCTATAGACAGAATCAAACTGCTTGGCATAAAATTGTTTCAAATTACGTTCCCCTCAGGAACATACATGTCATAGTTTCCTTAGTATTTTCTCTTTTTAAATATTATTTTAATTTTTATTTGACTATTTCTCAAGTTTAATATTTTAATGTGTTAATCATTTATATTTCTCTTCTGAGGTGACCACTTTTGTCTTTTGCCCATTTTTAAAAGTTGTATCTGTTATATGGTTTCTATATAAATGTTCTATATATTTTTTCAAATTCGGCTGTTTGTCTCTTAAATCACTTTGCTGTTTTTGAAGTAGAGGAATTTTTCACATTTTGGTAGTCAAATTATTACTTTCCCTTTTTTTCAAGCTTAAAAATTCTTCCTCTCAAGAGATTTAATATATACTTATATTCCTTTTTTATTGGTCCAGTTTTCTTTTTTTTTTGCATTTAGTTTTTAATTGGATCTATAAGTTACTGTATGATATAATGTAGGGCTGATTTTATTTGGTTCCTTTTCCTGATTCTGACAGATGTGTGCTTGCCTGGTGTTTATATCAAGCCAGTAGGAATTGAACTGGGGCACTGTCAGAAACTTATGAATGGTACTTTTGTTCCCCCAGCATATGTGCATACACAAACACACACTTCACAGAAGGACCTTGACGTTGAAAATTTGGTCAGGTGGCATCTGGGAACCCCATCTCTGCTACTGCAGAGTTCCCAGCACCAAGAAGTACACAAGGAGAGCTTCTCCCCCATACCATCTATTCTTCTTTAAGGGAAGCCACCTAAGATAGAAGCAGTCATCAGTGCCTCTACCCACTGCTAGAGGGATGCTAACACTGCCAGGATGCTCTGGTAAAAAGACACCCTCTCTTCCCCATGTGTCTAAGATAAGTACAGCCTTTGCCTCTTGGAGCCAAGTTAGTCTCTAGTTACCTCAGAAAGGGAAAATTTGATTTGATTTTTTTTCCAATTTAGATCCACTGGCATTATGTGAAACTGAAATTACTCTTGGTTTTGTTATAGGCTAGGTTGTTATGTTTATTTTCCAATGCTGATAGATATGTTTGCCTATTTGATTATTATGGTTACTTTTAATTTTTTAAGACACTGGGAATATGAGTCCTGGGTCCCTGGGCCCCACGCCACAATTTTCCTTGGGAATCACCTACAATTTAAATACTGTTCTTTGGGTGTTAACAATATTTTATTCACAGATGAAAAAGAAACCCTTGAAATGTCTACATTTAAAAGAAGTCTTCAAGACTCTAGCCAAGATCTAAAACTGGATTCAAAAAAAGGTAAATTAATATTTGGGTAATTTGGTTCTTTTAGATTGTGGATCTAAAAATCGCAAATAGATCCTTCAGAATTTTGAAGGAGAAACGTGATTCTTTTTTAAAAAACATTCTTAATATCCAGTTTATCTTAAAGGCTACTCTTATATCAGCAGTTGAACATTCAGGAGCACAGAAAAAAGACATGTGATGTATTGTTTTGGTGAACAAGAATATTGGGAAGATAGGAGAGCTATCTTTCTATTCTGCCATTCCTGGCATGTGGCTACCAAAATAATTCACAAGATGGCTGCTGATGCACCAGCCATCATATCAGTGTGCCTAAAAAGAAGAGAGAAAAGGCAAGGGACAAAAACCCTCTGGCACTCCACCCAGCTGAGTTATTCCTCTTTAAAGAGAAAACAAGATGACTCATAAAGAAAAAATCTGCTTGTCTCGGCCATCCAAACTATAAGGGAAGTTGGGAGCTGTAGTGTTTTTAGCTGGGCACATTGCTGACCCTAACAAAATCAGGGTTCAGTTAGTAAGGAAGAGGAGACTGGATATTAGGTAGACAGCTAGCAGCTTCTAGCACAGTCAGTATATTTGCCTGGCTGTTTCTGCCACATTATGTCCCCTTTCCCAGACTACAGGAATATCTTAGGTTCTTGTGTCTTCCACTCTGGCTATCCAGGAGCTGCTGGCTCTCTCTATCCCTGAGAACAGACTTCTTACTTCATGACAGGGAGGACAGCAGGCAGCTGCTCTTCATAGGTCATTTGGGGTTTTTCTGGGTGAGGATCAAATGGTTCTGGCAAGAGACCTTGATGGATGGAGCCTTGGAGCAGCTCAGGAAGCACTACTGGAAAGGCAGAGATAGTGGAGTCAGGTGGAGCTGTCAGTCTCCTGTCATAGTCCTTAGAGGAGTAGATGAACATTTACTTCATGATGCAACTTGTAAGGCAGCTCAGCCATGTAAGGAAACATTCAGCACATAATGAGGCAAGAATCAAGGGTAACACTTGAAAAACCAGCCTGTGCCACCATTTCTTCCATCCCCTCCAACTTGCCTATCTCCTGTCCTCTTACTGTCCCGTGTAGTCTCATGCGTGTATTTAGAAGTATTCGTTTTGTGTTCTGACTCAATCCCTAGCTGCTTGTGTTTGAGCTTGACCCCTGGAAGCCCCTGGCCCTACCTCTTCTCCCTAGCTCCCTGGGTTTAGACTCCTGCTTGACATGACTTTCTTCTTGCCTCATTCACTTTCATTCTGATTCACTGGCTTTAAGCCACTACTCTGATATTTTGTGATCCCTGACTTATTTCCTCCCTAGTCTATTTCTCCCTTTTTCTGGCATGTGTATAATAACATGAAGATAGTACTTCCTGGGGTCAGGTATTTACAATCATATTCTACTGCGAATAACGTTGTTTACTAAAATTACTAATGGCATAGTTTACTGGTTTATTTTACTTTATGTGTAATAGAATACACAATAGAAGAGGTAACTGCAGATCATCCAGAAGTTCTTTCCATAATAAAGGAGACTGTAAAAGTGGCAAAGGATATGTATTTACAACAGCCATATGAAAAACATGCTGAAATCTTAGAGGAAGTCCTCCAAGAGGTAAGAAATCCAGGCTCTTTGTTTTTATCATTGATTTCACAGGATCTGAGAAAATGTTAACCCAGTATATGTACAATTATTTTAGAATCCCATATGACAGAGCTGAAATCTGTAGCCTTCAAATCCATGTACATTTCACCATCAGCATTGTAATGTGTATTGTGCCCCAGTGAACAACTGCATATAAATTTTCAAGGTATCAACAATTGTGCAATAGAATTTCATAGCTTTGACATTTATTCTTCATTAACTTTTATTGTGTTTAATTCAGTCCAATTGATTAAAAGATGGTGCACATAAAGCAGGTACCAAAATTAGATTTTTCATCTATGAGCTAATCAGTTGTAAAGCAAGACAAATACTGCTCCATAGCTAACTAATATCATCCAACCACCTTGAACATGTATTCATAGAGGAGATGGTTGGACACACGACTGATTTTCCAGTCTAAGGGGAAAATAAAGCTTTGGGTACTATATCCTACCATTAGCAAATCAGAAAACTTGTAAAGACCATAAGATCTGTTTTGTACAGAGATCCTGGGTAAGCATTCAGAGCAAAAGTCAAAGAGAACAAATCAGTTTGGTCTCTCAATCAACTTCTGTATTTCTCTGTAATTTGAGAATGATAATAATTTAAAATTATGAGAAGAAAAAAAGATATTACCTGAGAGTATAGAATCACTCTGTAACACATTGGGTAAAATTCTCAAACCCCAGGCTGTACCCAAGGCAAGTTTCTATTCCTCTCTGAGTTTCCCATAGAGGTCTTTCAACTTCTGCAACTCTTCATGTTGTTCTGTCATCAATTTATTCCTTCAGAAACATTCTGAGCACCTACTGTTTGCTCTGTACTGTGCTAGAGCTGGGGGATAGGAAGATGAATTAAACACAGCTCTTCCCTTTAAGGAACTATCAGGCATGCAGGGGAAGCTAGCGTATAATCCAATAATTGTTATCTGTCTATCATGTAATATGTGGTAACTAGATATATGCAAGGTATAGGAATTTCACAAAGGTCAAGGCTATCATCTCTACCTGGGAGGTGAGACGGAGCACCCCAGAGGAGGAGACATCCAAGTGAGGGATGTCTTTAGCATCCTTACTGTCTGTGAATATCCCATCCTTGCCCTGCATTGAGAATTTTCACCATTCTTTTCAGAGTTTATTCTGGAGGATACAAACTTACAGGGAGTACTACTAAAACACTCTTGATACAGGAATATATGTAGTGTCGTTATATGGTAAACTGTGACTCTGGGATCGTAGAGGAGTTTAAATCACATGAGATTTTAACACCAAAGCTCATATCAGATTGTCTTTTTCAAGAGAACAGAGACCTGTGTGGGAACTTGTTCTACTTGTCATCAGTTTCCATGATCTCTATGAATAGGAAATTGTTTTTTAAAAGTAGGTAGTTACTAATTTTTTATATAAAGCCAAAGTCTTATTAAGATATCTTTCTCAATGTACAGATTTGATGCAACTGTAATAAAAATATCAATGTATTTGGAAAACTGACAAAATGACTCAAAGAACCAATGGTTGAGACTTGGTGAGAATAGTTTGGCAAAGTAAAATAGAGACTTGCTGTACCAGCTAGTAAAATGTGTTGTGATGCTGCAGTGGGATGTAAGCCTGATAATCAAACAAGAACTAACACAATCACAGAGAAGGCACAGAAACAGGCCTTGGTATAGATAAAAATTGAATTTGTGCTGAAGTTTATATCATTATCCAAAAGGAAAGGAAGAACTATTTAATAGTGTTGGTAAAATTAACTAGTGGGAAGAAAACAATTTAGATTCTCACCTTGTATCAAAATAAAAATAAATTCCATATGAATAGTTAAATGTAAAAATGGCATTTTTTTTAAACTAGAAGAAAGTGTAGTGATACTGAAATGATTTTGGAATGGTCAAGTACTCTAGGCACAAATGCAATAGAAGAACTCTTATAGCAAAATCTCAATTGAGAGGCTACTTAGCAATGATTCTCTTTTAAAAAAAAAATCATGAAAATCAAAATTTTAAGGCAAAGGTCAAACTGAGGAAAGTATTTATGATAACTATGACATATGAATCCCTTATTATAAAGATTTATTGTAAATCAGGAAAATCTAATACTCCAATATGAAAACAGGGAAAGATGTAAATAGATTATTTCATCAAAAAGAAATATAAAAGGTTAATGGAAAATTTAAAGTTCAAATGTCAATAAAAATATGAAAAAAATGAGAGCGTTTCTCATCTGTCAAACTGACAGATTTTTTGAAACTTATAACAGTCATACTAGTGAGGCTATAATGGTACAGTCACATAAGAGTAAAAATTGTTAGAGATATTATGGAAAGAACATGACAACGTGTATGAAAAGCCTTTAAAATGTTCATTCCTTTATTCTCTTTGACCTAAAAACACTTCTGGGAATCTAACCTAAAGAAATATTTACTTGGACAAGATTTATATATGCAGATGTTCATCACATCAGCACAATGTTATAATAAAATTATGAATGGTATAAATGTTTAACAGTAAGAGGATGATTAAATAAATTGATTTATTCATTTGATAAATACTATGAAGCCATTAAATTATTTTTCAGAAAAAAAATCAGATGAGATGGGGAGACTATAAATTATATATTGATTTTTTTTGATTTTCATATCTTTGAAACTTGGACAGTAAAATTTTATTAACCACTTGTATTTCATTTTTCCAGTTTCATTGATATGTGATTGACATAAAACATCATATTAGTTTAGTATGCAACATAATAATTTGATATATGTAAACATTGTGAAATGATTATTACAGTAAGTTACAGTGTGTATGGTGAGAGCTTTTCTTAGCAACTTTCAAATATACAATACAGTATTAACAACTATAGTTACCATGCTGTACATTACATCCCTGGCACTTAATTATCTTGTAACTGGATGTTTGTATTGTCTAACCACTTCACTAGTTTCCTCCCACCTCCACCCCTGCCTGTGGCAACTACCAATCCGTTTTCTTTTTCTGTGGGTTGGTTTTTCTGGATTCCACAAATAAATGAGATCATATAGTATTTGTCTTTCTCTGTCTAATTTGTCTAACTTTTTTCACTTATACTTCTCCCTCATAGCTTTTTTCCCACCCTAATTCTCTTACGTTAAACATTCAAAGTTTTTAAAATTCTATTTTTCAAAAGGCTCTTCATTCAGATGGAAATTCAAAAAGCAGATAATCTTAAATTCTGCATAGGCCAGAGGCTTACTCCACTCCTCTCAAGATTTCTTTCCCTTTGACTTCTAACACTCTGTGATAACCTGATGGCGCAGAAACTTGTTTAAAACCTTCACAATTGGTGCACTCACAGATCCACATCACTAATCTCCATACTTGTATTGAAGCTATTATTGGGTGGCTGGTAGGGGAAAGTTTGACAGAAAGTTTGACAGAACTAAGCACCTACAAGATTTGTTTTGAACCAGTTCCTTCCTACAGCTGTAAGTAACCATCTAAGTACCTCTTAGCTCTCATACTAAGGGATGAAAAGCAAAAGGGAAGTGAAGATCATTATCACTAAAAAAAGGCAAACTGGGCTAGGACCTTACTACTTAAAGAGTGGACCAGGGACCACTGTCACCCGGGAGCGTGTTAGAAATACAGACTCTTGGGCCCTATCCTAGGCTTTCTAAATCAGGATCTGGATTTTGTAATACTGAATAACACATGGCAGACATGTAGTGTTACATTTATTTAATAAAGACTTTTGCTTCCCTGTTCTTAATTTTTGTAAGTTACAGCTTTATTGCTTTAAATTTAAATCTCTCTTTTAAAACGAAGTGGCTCTTTTTTTTTTCCTTCTGAAAGTCAGAAAAACCCAAACCTTCATTAAGGCCCACAAAAGTGATATGTCAAGATAGCATTCGTCATAGTAAACAGTCTTATGATTACCAAAGGGAAGAGGGTGGGAAAGCATAAATTTGGGAGCTTGAGATTTGTAAATATTATCCACATATAAAAAAATAGATTAAAAAAAAACAAATTTCTTCTGTGTAGCGCAGGGAACTATATTCAATATCTTGTAATAACCTTTAATGAAAAAGAATATGAAAACAAATCTATGTACGTACATGGATGACTGGGACATTGTGCTGTACACCAGAAATTGACACAACATTGTAAACTGTATACTTCAATTAAAAAAAATGAGATAGTATCCTTGACTTGTGTAGCTATGATAGTAATATCAATGTGTCATTTTCACAGGTAGTTGAAGAAAACAAGAATAGGTTTCATGGTGCCCCAAAATATGGAGGATGGATACTGGACAACTGCCCTATTGTGAGAGAACTGTGGATGGTCTTAGCTGACAAAGGAATTCTACCTGATTTAGTCATCTGTTTATCAAACACAGAAAACAATGGTTGGTAAATATTTATCATGTCACTTTAAAGTGAAATTTTTATTGCTGATAATATTTTTAGTTAAAATGGAAAATGGAAAACTCTCCACCTTCCCTAGGTATAAATACCCCCCCAGCAGTCCCTTCATGACCTAGAGGTACACAAAATGAGGCCACCTGAGTAGGCAGCCACGGATGGTGTGCTGGATCACTGGATGTTTCAGCAGGCCCTTATAATTATTCCTTGGAGCTGAGAATTTAACTCCCCTCATCCCAGTCAGCACTAAAACTTCTAAATTAAAAATATGCAAATAAGGCTGAGGGCAAAACTATTAGTCCTTATTCACCTCAAATGGGAAATACTAACTATATAAATATAGCAGAACTAAATTTTAATTTTTCTGTCACTTTGTATACAGCTATAGTAATCAAAACAGGATGGTACTGCCATAAAAGCAGACACACAGACCAATGGAACAGAACAGAGAGCCCAGAAAAAACCCACACATATATGGTTAACTAATCTCTGATGAGAGGGGCCAAGAATATTCTGTCATTTTGCCTCTTAAGAAAAAATATATTTCAAAAGAGTTTCCAGAGTGAGAATCTATTATACTACCTCTTTTTATATTTTAGTTATTTTTGCCATGTCAATATATACCTTTCAGAAAGGATTTAAGATGGTTTCTTAAAGAGTTTGGGCTCTAATTACATAAATACTTAAAGGAAAATATATTTGGATATAGGCAGAAATAATTTTTTATTGTTAATTTCTAAAATATATCTCACTATACTTTATAGAGCTTTAGAATTAATATTACTCTCTTTATCTGTATTTCAGGAAAATATTTGCTTAATAGACTGTATTTAGAGAATAAACCAGAAATTGACTCAAAGATTTTAGGAAGATTATTAGATGAACTACTAAAGAAAAAAAAAGAGGAAGAAGCAGAAAGGTAAAATCTACCTGGCAAAATAAAATAAGTTAATAAATGTCTTACAGTTGTTAAATATCTACTTATCATTCATATTTATGAAATATCTTTAATATAAAAATGGTGGTCTACTAACTAGATTCAATTCTAATTCTAAGGAAAACAGTAATTTCTCAAATACTTCCAAAATCTCTAAAGTACAGAGTTGTGGATGTTTTCACAGCCCAAATCAGTCTAAAGCAAACATCTACTTTCAAAAGATACTGTAAAAAAATGAGCACAGGGAAGATATATTTTTTTCTACCATATTTAACTATGACTTAAATAATTTTCCTAACTAGATTCCACAAATTAAAGAAATAATATGATAAAAAGTGAAAATACACTTGTGTGATATGACTAAAATCCAAAGACTAAGTTCTACATAAGAAAAGAACAAGACTAGCTATTTATAACTTACAGGTTCAACATCAAGAATTTATTCTCTAATCTGGGTGCAATGAAGAACTTTTCAAAATGTAAACACATATCCATATGTTCAAGGCTGGGGTCAAGACTAAACTTTAATTAACTATCAAGTTCTTTAGAGTAGAAAATAATGTATAAAAAAAGGGGAGTGGCTTAATTTGCTAATTGTTCTTCCTTGCTGAAACATGCTCTTTAGATAGTAAAAATTATTTAATTTATCCACTGAGATTCCTACTTCTCCAAGTGATAAAGGCTGAGACATTCAAAAACTAAATTTCTTTATATTAACCTGTTAGACTTCCCACTATTGATGATGACACCTATAGAGCTCTCTCAAATGCTATTTCCTTTTCCCCTTCAGATGCTAGCAGTTTGAGCTGACATTTAGGAGAACTCTTTAAACCCTCAAAATTATGGAGCTTGGGTAATTGTTGTGGGGTAAGGGATGGAGGATAGATAACTGATAAGTGTGCATCAGTGTTCATTGTTCACCTAAGTTGGCCATTCCTTTAGGAACTTAACACAAACATATATGAAGTATAATTTAGTTAGATTAGTTAATAAAACTATTGTTTATAACATTGACTAAAAGTATTTGTTAAGACAATAATTGCAAACTTAATTATATTTACTTTTAGCTCTTAAATTGGAGCTACAATCTACTAAGATTTATGGGATTACCTAATTTTTTTCTCGCGTGTGAGAGTCACATATTTGAGAACATACGAGGGTATTGACATAAGAGTAGAACAAAGCTAATGTGATTTCAATTTGTAAACTGGAGGTTTGCTACATTTTAAGTAGATTATAAGTTAAAATAAATATAACCTAAGATGTTTTTAAAGGAAAAAGAGATCTCCACTTTCTCCTAACTCTTAATTTTCACCTTCCTCTTACCATGTGGAATTTTCTGAGCTGTCTCTATAATCAATTTTTATTTCTTTTGATTCTAAATTTTTACATCTTTATAAATTTCTTAATGGCAGAGAATTGCCCTTGAAGCAGGCTTTTCTACAGTTCTATATGTTGTTTGTAAAAATTCTTCACGAATATTTCAAAACATAACCATTTTTTATACATTGCAGAAAATGAAATTTAAAACAGTTGTAAAAGAAAAATATGGTCAGAGACACATTTAAAGGCTTTGCAACTTGGTTGGAAAAGGGATAAAATTAACAGGATTAAGAATTATATCTTGGGGGGAGGGTATAGCTCAGGGGTAGAGTGTGTGCCTAGTATACATAAGGTCCTGGGTTCAATCCCCAGTTCCTGCATTAAAATAAATAAATAAACCTAATTACCTCCCCCAAAACAACTAAACAAAAACAATAAATGAATAAATAAAAATTTTTAAAAAAGAATTAAATCTTTGGCCAAATATCTACAGACATGCTGAATTCTCCAGATTTTCCAGCATCAGTTTCTAAATGTGCCAGGCAAATGCAGGATAATTTCCATTATCACTATTTGTCTTTGACCGATCTGTCCAAGTGGTGTATATAAGTGGCTAGAAACTGGCAGCAAAATTTCTTCCTCCTTATTGTCAGGTCTCAGATTTTTAGCAGCAGGACACAGTATCCAGGTTTTGGATGAAGAAAATCTCACAAAAGAGCCCCACCTGAACTAAGTAGAAAGACTGCTGATTCACACAGAACCAAGTGGGGAAGGAATACAGAAACAGTACCCAGGAGTCTGGGTCTTGAACAAAGAGAATTTGAATTACACCAAGACCTCAGTCTGGATTGCAGAATTTAGAATACAGCGGAAGAACACCCCATATTAAGAAACACACCTGTGGGGAGGAGAGGTGTAGTAATGTCTTTGAAGAGTATATATATAAAGATTTTCGAAGGAAGGGGAAAAGAACACAAAGAACAATGACTATGAGACAATGACCAGCCTATAGAGCAGTCTAAAGAAGACTACCCCAGGGTGGGCTGCTAATATGAATGGGCTCTACTTTACTTCACTGGTCCCCTGTTGGTGAGTATTTGAGTATTTTTAAAGACGCAGTCAACATTCTTATACATGTTTCTTTGTGCAGTAGTGTACCAATACCTGAGGGCTAAATTCCTAGATACAGAATTTCTAGGTCAAAGGTATACTCGTTTTAATCTTTAATAAATAATGTCTTTCTTCATCATATTACTAACTTTCCTCATACTTGTCTTCACCATTAAGGCAGGTTTAGTGCTTCAACCCTGATGAAAAAACAGATTCCCTCAGAGAGCCCAGAAATAAACCCACCCACCTATGATCAATTAATCTTCGACAACCTATGAGCAAATTAATCTTCAGCAAGAATATACAATGGAAAAAAGACAATCTCTTTGACAAGCAGTGTTGGGAAAACTGGACAGCTGCATGCAAATCAGTGAAGTTAGAACACTCTCTCAAACCTTACACAAAAATTAACTCAAAATGGCTTAAAGACTTAAACATAAGACAAGACACTATTACTTCCTAGAAGAGAACAAAGGCAAAACATTCTCTGATATAAATCATAGCAATTTTCTCCTGGGGCAATCTACCTAGGCAGTAGAAATAAAAGCAAAAATAAACAAATGGGGCCTAATTACATTTATTATAAGTTTTTGCACAGCAAAGGAAACCATAAAGAAAATGAAAAGACAACCTACAGAGAAAATATTTGCAAATGATGCAACTGACAAAGGCTTAATTTTTAGAATATACAAACAGCTCATACAACTTAATAATAAAAAAACAAACAACCCAATCCAAAAATGGGCAGAAGACCTAAACAAACATTTCTCCAAAGATATACAAATAACCAATAGGCATATGAAAAAATGTTCAATATTGCTAATTATCAGAGAAATGCTGATCAAAACTACAATGAGGTATCACCTCACACCAGTGAGAATGGCCATCATTAAAAAAATTCACAAATAACAAATGCTGGAGAGGGTGTGGAGAAAAGGGAACCCTCCTACGTTGTTGGTGAGAATATAGTTTGGTGCAGCCATTATGGAAACAGTATGGAAATTTTTTAAAAAACTAAAAATGGGCTCACCCTATGATCCAGCAACCCCACTCCTGGGCATATATCTGGAAGAAACCCTAATTCAAAAAGATACACGCACCCAGTGTTCACAGCAGCACTATTTACAATAGCCAAAATATGGAAGCAACCTAAATGTCCATGAACAGATAACTGGATAAAGAAGTTGTGGTATATATATACAATGGAATGCTACTCAGCCATTAAAAAAAAGAATAAAATAATGCCATTTGCAGCAACATGGATGGACCTGGAGATCATCATACTAAGAGAAGTAAACCAGAAGGAAAGAAAAATATCATATGATACCACTTACAAGTAGAATCTGAAAAAAAAAAAAGACACAAACGTACTTACAAAACAGAGGCAAGACTCATAGACGTAGAAAACAAACATGGTTACAGCTGGGAAAATGGTTGGGGAGAGAATAATTGGGTGTTTGGGATTTGTAGATACTAACTACTATATATAAAGTAGATAAACAACAAGGTCCTACTGTATATAGCACAGGGAACTATATTCAATACCTTGTAGTGGCCTATAATAAAGAATATGAGAAGGAATATATATGTGTAAATGAATCACTATGCTGTACATCAGAAATTAACACAACATTGTAAATCAACTATACTTCAATTAAAAAAAAAAAACAGATTTCCTCCAGATACTTTAATTTCCATGTCCCAAGTCTCTTTAAGTTTCATCATTACTATGTTAAAAAAAAATCAGAAAATGATTTTTCTGATTACAAAGATAAATTTACAAATTTTCTGTGTATTCATATAAAAATTCTTTTAAAGTGAAAAATGTGAAATAAATTTAAAAACTCTCAGAAAGCCACCATTCAGGGATAATTACTATTAACAGTTTGATTCATTTTCTTCTAGTCCTTTAATGATCATCTATATACAGTGTAAATACAAAATTAAAATTGTATTAGACATAGCTTTATATTACACTTTTTTTCACTTAACACTATATTGTGAACATTTCTCATTTAATCAGAGGGAAAATGGTACAAATTCTCCCATTCACCTTCTCAACTTGGAGTTAGACAATCTGCTATTCATTTTTCTAGGTTTCCTAGTTAATAGCCAAAATTCTTCAAAGAACATTTCAACTTTTCTTACCAAAAAAGGCATGAAACAAACAAATTTTTAAAAACCCTGAAAATTAACTGGCTTCAATAAACTAAATTAAACATTTATGTTGTAAAGTAAAAGTACAATGAATATTATAAACAATTTACTCTTTATTTTTACCATTATAGACCTTACATTCTATAATATTGTGAGGTATCTGAGTTCCCAAAGATAATTAAATTTTGGACCTTTTCATTTCAGAAAAGCTGCAGAAGAACAGAGACTGAAGGAAGAAAATCAAAGGCTGTTGGAAACAATGAATGCAAAAGCAAAAGGCAAACACAAAATTGATGTGATTCATAATGTGTCATTTGATTTTGTATTGGGACTTCTCTCTGCATTTCCTCTTGGAATGAATCCTTGGGCTAATGTTCCCATAGCACTCTGAGCGTATGACTATAATCCTTTCCCACTGCGTTTTAATAGATAAGAGAGAGAGAGTGTGTATCTGTCTCCCACGTTAAACCCCATGCTCAAGGAGAGCAGGGGCCATTCCCAGTTAAATATTTGTTGACCTAAACTAAGTAATTTATTTCTTCTCATTTTTTCTAAAAACGGAAGAAACCGAAGCCGAAGCTGAAGAGGAGATTGAAGATGAGGAGTCTGAACTTCATGAAGGGTCTGTGGCCGGTGAGGTAGCCAAGGAGACCGGGGGGTCCTTACCTGAGGAACCTGACGTGTTCGAGCTCCCTGGAACTGAACACGAATCAGGTTAGACTTCACTGAGGCTCATGTCCTTAATTCCACTCCTGTCCATTGGCATGCTTGTGTGTGCATGTTTGTGTGTATGTGTCTAATGTTAATAAAATGGAAGCAGGCTTAAGAATAGAGAGATGTGCCCCAGAGCGCAGCCTGTTAGTCCAGATCACATAGCTTGAAGTGCGGTAGGAAAGCCGAGTCTGCTCTGCCCTGGTGCTGCTGCTCGGGAGCAGGGCCTGCTGTGTGATTTGTGGGGCACAGTGTTCAAAGAGCAGGGAAAAAAGAGCCATTAAAGGCTGAAAATACAAAGCTCTTTCTTTTCTTCCATGGTCTCTCTCTTAACATGTCATAGTACTTTTTGTTTTCTATTTAAGGTCATTCTAAGTGAAAAACAATTGAAATTTTAGGTTCTTAGCATGAATTTGGCTGTTCATCTTTATGTTGTGCAATGCCACTGTTAAATGCAGACATAAGAGCACGTAATTCATGTGCAGAATCACTGAAGCTACACAATTTGTATTTTGCAGCTTGTACATGTATATGTATTTCATTCTTATCAGAAAACTAAGTCAGTCTCAGGCACAAAGCTAACTCAACTTTTTATTTCACTTCTTAATATACATGTTTTCTGCCAACACTCTACTGTTAGCTTCCTAATGATTTAGGAAAGACTGAAAGGAAAAGGATCTCTGGGTTGCCCTCTTTTCCTTTCTTTCTGCGTCATCACTTTCAGTCTAAGTGTTCAGCTAATACAAGAAAGTAACATGAGTAAGAAAGGGTGTGATGAGATTCCTTGGTCATTCACGTCTGTTTGATTGCCATCACCTTCATTATGCATCTGGAACAAGTTCTGGTTCAAAGGGAAACCATGGTCTCTCGGGTCTGTCAGCATCCTTCCCTCCCCAACCACTCAGTCACACTTACTACCACATATTGTGGGTCCCCTGGAGTTCCATGCTCCTGTTGGGGCGTCAGAAACACTCATGAGAATGAGATGGCAAATAATGGCAGACACAGATCAGGCATCTCTCTGCTCACACATGTGCTCTATTATCCCTTTGGAATCCCTCTGAATTTTGCTTACAAAACTCCGTCCAAAGGTAAAATTATTTAAAATTTCAAAATGACAAAGAGCATTAACTAAATGCGAGGCCATTCTGAGTGAGAGATCCAGGGCAACAGCACAGGTTGTACACCTGTGAAGCCAGCCTTTCTCAGAGGTCCAGTTTGGTGGGTTGGCAGGGCAGGAAGGAGTCTGTGAGCAACGAAAGTCACTCTCAGGACTGGAGAGTGAGTTAAAGCAGATTTTTTTATATCTCATGGTGAGGAACACATTTTTTCCTTTGGAGTTTGACTTCTACCTTGGTCCACAAGGTAATCATTATCTCTGTCAAGTGAGATGACTGAAGTCTCATTTCAATCCTGTTGTCACTCTAGCCTTCTTAGAATGGAATGATGTGTATTGCTTAGAATTGATGTTTTAAAGGGCAATAACCTATGTATATGGAGGCTGGTTAATCACTTAGCTCATTCCCAATTTTTTTCTCTTTATATACTGGTTAGGTATAAGTCAATTTACATGGAACTTGTGAAAACATGAACTTAGAGTAACCACTGGCTCAAATTACAGTGCTTCATTCCAGGCACTTCAGGGACAATAGAGTCAGCTATTAACAGGCATTGGGAAATTCATCCATTCCTTCAATGAATCTTTATTGAATTTCTTCTAAGTGCCAAGCAAAGCAACAGGCACTTGCCCTACATAATAGGGACTCAGCAGTGATCAAGACAGTTAAGGTCCCTACCCTCAAGGATCTGTCATCCTATGGGGTGAGAAACAAGAATAAACAAATAAACTGGATAATTTCAAATTGTGTTAAGTGCTGTGAAGAAAATCTATGAAGGCACTAAAGCAGTGCCTTGGATATAGTAGGTGTTCAATATATGTTTGTTGAATGAATGAGCAAGGTAGAGACCATGGGGGTGGTTTAGAAGAAACACTAAATTTAACAATAGTAAACCTTGTTGTTGTTGTTGATGTTGTTGTTTTGTTGTTGACTTCTCCCTGAATGGACCAGGTGGAGTAGGGTAACCAACAGGAAGGGTAAATAGAGTGTTTATAAGAACCATCCTTCTCCCCCAACACACACTCTACACACATACACCCCTTTCACTCAAACTTCTTGCCAGGTACTCTCAGATATAGACCTAAAGTTCAAGCTAATGTGCATCAACCTGGTTCAACTTATGATATTTAGTGCTATCTTATATGGCTCTTCTGGAATGAGGCTGGATCTTCTTCATCCCCAACTATTGCGTTCTCTGATTAAGCCAGAAAAGCTGAGACAGTTTAGAATTTTCTGTATATTCTTGGTGCTCTTGTCTTTCTTGGGGTTTATGCTTTTCTTTAGGTCATTGAGCACCTTATAATTAAACATGCTGCCATCGGGTCAGCCCTAGGCTTATCCCCTTCTGCTTCTTGCTTTCTTGAGTATTAGACGTTAAAGATTCTGTAGAAAGAGGACCCAACTCTTACTTTAACTAACTTAGAGGACAGTTTCCACAGTGTTTCAGAATGGCAGAATGGCTACATTTATATACATTGAATATGTATATATATGTTTGGTCTACACAAAAGTTGTGTCTCAGAACTAGGAGAGACTATGGGGTAAGAAGATAGATAATTAGTCCTTCCTTCCCTGACACTGTCTATGCTAGATCTATATGTGGAGCATGTCTTAAATCATCCAGGAAGACAGCTTTTGATCTATATCATCAACAGTGATGTTAGTTGAGATTCGCCTCAGTTTCACCATGTCTGCACCCACAGCTGGGACTTTGGTGTATCATCGCCTTCATTGACACCTTATGGTGTATCTTCACAGGTATCTCAATAAGAAGTTAAAAGAACTGTCAGGCAGTCCTAGTCTGATGCCATGTGGACAGAAGTTTTAATAATATTTAACATTAATTATCAGTTAAAATCTTATGTACCAATTATTATTCTGGTCAATGTCCTTTTGTATATTTAAGAATATTCTTCATTTTCTGCCTTACACTATTAGGTATTTTTATGCCATGCTGAAGCCAAGCAATGGGCTTCTATGCCCACAGTGCAGAAAGCCGAACTCTGACAATGGGTGTTTGCAGCAAAGTAAGAGTTTATTGCAGGGTGCCAAGCAAGGCAGTAGTAGACAAGCCTCGGGTCCACTCTAACTTGGTTTTTGAGTTAGGGATTTTTTAAGGGAAAGAACAAAGAAACTGGAGTTAGTCATCATCTTGTAACATTTCTTAATCATGGTTTTGGGAGACAGGGTGCCTACTGCTTACAAGTCTCTAGTCTGGTGGTCCATGAGCTAGGAGTCTGTGAGCTTTTCTTGCCCTGGAGAAACAACCTGAGTTTGCATAATGATGTTATCAACAACAGCAGTTTTAGCCCTCTGACTCTGATTGATTAGTATTCAGAAAGCACAGAATTGAGGTCAGAGAGAATAAGGAAGGGAATGAAGTTTTGGGTAGAGAAGGTCAATAAACTCAGCAGGAGAACTCTGCTTTAGGGGGACTCAGTTTCAATACTTCACCTAACAAGAACTGTATTTTCAATTAGACATAGTCTATACAGTTCAAATCATTTTGAAATTTTCTTTGTGTCAAAACTATCATAAAGGAACAATGTTTTAAAATTCAAACACTAATTATTAGTTGTTGTTGTTTTTTTAAGTACCTGAACCTGCTGAGGATATTACAGTTGGAACAGAAATTCCAAAAGGATCCAAAGAGGACCTGGCAACTCAAGAATTATTTGAAACAGGTTAGATTATAAAATAAAAGCAGTAAGTGCATAAAAGTGCTCTTCATATTCTTATACAATTGTAGGCATAGTACCAACTTATTACTTATTTCTTTCTATATTGTATGCCAGTTGATATGTGTTATTTAGCTTACTATATTAAAAATGTATCTAGCCAACTTACAATGCTGTTTTTCCATCAAATTTTATTTTATACATTTTATCAACAGTTAAAGTTGCCATGTGAAATTCATATTAATTATCCAAAGGATTTAGGTTTTATTTATGAGTAATAATTCATCTATAGCCAATACAAGGAACAAAGGAGAGTTAAAATATGAATTAATGAATGTATATTATTACTTAGAACACTAAGTTTATTTCTTTTAAATGTTTTAAAAGTATTATAAAGTATAAATTATTTTGTCAATATGACTAAAGATATAATATTTGAAGGTCCTTTTATCTTTCCTTTAACCATTATTAAAAAGTTGTACTACCTGAGTTTCCAGAAGATGCTTATCCTGATGTTCCTGAAATGGAGCCAATTAAAGAGAAGATCACATTTTTCACCTTTGCCTGGAAACTGCTGGAAACAACAATCAATGACTCTTCTGCTCAAATTTTACACTTGGAGATTGCTGACAAAACTCCAGAGGAACTACTTCAAAAAGTGGTTGAGACTATGGAAAGTAAGGACAGTCTGTAAGCATAAGATTTATTGTCATGAGCAGGTAATATTATTAAAAATTTTGTGAAAGTTTAAAGCTTTTCTTGATAGTTTATGAAGAAAAACATTAAATATACCAAGGTGAATATTTAAAATATTTAACAACTCATAGCGCAATCTCTCATAGCTCAGAATAGCTGCAAGGCACAAACAGCGCTGGCCATACTGGCCAGCTGTCACTTAAAGAATTTGTGAAGGCCTATTTGTATATACATTTAAGCTAAGAGATCAGTCATTATAATTGATTTTCCTAATCTTTGACTTCTGTAATATGCTAATACGCTTTTATCCTAAAAAAAAATCTTACCCAATTTTTTTTTTAACAGAACCTTTTCAGTATGCTGGCTGGGAGTTAACTATGGAAGATTATGATGAAGAAACAGAAGATTATCAGGCCGAGGCTGACGCTGATGAGGAGCTAGAAGAGGAAGAAGAAGACGAGGAAGAGGTACAAGTCTTTAGTTACTGCTCACTTACGGCGGTCGCGTCACTGAACGTGCACATATCCAGAGTGGTAACTGGCACTTTTAAACTCCAAGAAAATAACAGCGATCTTCAAGTTTATAAACATTTTCAACACACTTCACCTCCACCCAGCTTCACTTGACCCCTGAAATGCCAGGGCTACATAGGCAGTATATTATAGCCATGAAAAAAGAAAAGGGAAATCTTTACATATTTTTTCCATGTAAAGGTATATAGGTATTAGAGGCAGAACTATTTTATAAATTTAACAAAAGTGACTGTTTTATGTAACGTATAGCAGTGGCATCTTTGAGAGGCTGCTCGCATGGTAACAATGAATAGTTTTCTCAAACTGGAACAGCTCTACTTGTTGTTCCTAAAACTAAAACTAAAATTTGTTTTAGGCACCTATCTACTCCCTTGGCGACACGATTTTTGATAATCATTCTCGACTATGGCCTCCTAATTCAGGCATCTATCAATAATAAGATAGGAAGTGATTCTTTTAATTTGGGGCTTTATCAATAAAACAAAATAATGTATTAAAGTTAAATATTCAGTTGTAGGTTTTAACTTATTGCTGCTTAACTTAAACCCAAATATATTTATGTCAAACAACAAATGTTATGCAGTATGGTTCTGATAACAGCTTCTGGTGCTTTATTGCTAAGGAACTGCTGGCACCTTCAGTCAGGGAGGCCAAAGAATGTGGGTTTTGTCCCACTTCTATTCAGATTCTGCAGTCATCTCTCTGTCATTCTTCTGTGTCCCACTCTGATCTGCAAGAGAAAAGGGTGGTGTCTTTCTTGTATCTGCAGACAATTCTCAGGCTATCTGTGATATACAAAACGTATATTTTTAACTGTGATATCCATTGATAGTAGAGTCTTTTCCTCATCTACAGTCTTTCTAATTTACAATACAAATCAGTTTTACCTGCTTGATTAGCGTCCTAAGTTTGCAAAACAAAGGACTATAAACAAGAAAGCTTAAAACAACACAAATTTATTCTCTCATGGTTCTTGAGGCCAGAATTCTGAAATTAAGGTTTTGGCAGGATATAAAGATAGAGTATTCTCTTGTTCCTAGATCAAAATTTCTAAGGATGTCAATGAGTGTGTATATGTCCATGTATGACTGAAAAATTGTACTGAACACTGGAATTTGACACAACACTGTAAAATGATTATGAATCAATAAAAATGTAAAAAAAAAAAAAATTTCTAAGGATGTGCTCCCATGACTCCTGGCAGCCATGTCTGCCTTATTTGGAAAAAGCAATTGGCAGATGTGATTAAGGATCTCAAGAGGGTATATCATCATTCGTTATCCAGGTGGTCCCTAAGTCCAGTGACAGGTGTCCTTAGAAAAGAAGGAGAAGACACGGAAGAGAAGGCCATGTGTAGACAGAGAGGCAGAAACTGAAGTTAAGCAACCACAAGCCAAGGACTATCTGGAGTCACCAGAAGTTACAACAGGCGATGAAGGCCTCTCCCCAGAGCCTTCAGAGGGAGCATGGCCCTGCCAACACCTTGTTTTCAGAATTCTGGCCTCAGCAAACACTAATCAAAAAAGAAAAAGAAATGGCATTCTAAATATCAGTACAAGTAGAATACAAGGAAAAATACATTAAAACAACAACATAAAAAGATACTTCATGCTATCAAAGATAACCTAGCTGGGCACTAAAGTGGTACAGACGGATTATAATCAGTAAGAGCTATTGCAATAGGGAAGAGTCCAGTGTGACCTGAACTGCCATTTAGACAGAGGCGAATGGACATTTTAAAGAGAGAATGAGGGAGTAGGGAGAGGGGCAAGAAGGTGCCCTGTTGAGTCAAGGAAATGAAAAATTGTAGAAGGTTAACTAGTGTAAATGCAATTAGGCCAGCTGTGTCTGCTTGCTGGCATTTACTCCCATTAGATTCTGTCCTCCCACAGAGGCCCTGTGTTCAAGTGTCAGCTGGAATGAGCAATAGATTTTTTTAGCAGTGTTGAGCTATCTCAGGCAGACTTTTAAGGGGGAGTAGGATCATTTTAGGGATGTGGCCTTGAGCTGTTGAAAACTATGTTACTGTTTAAGTCCTTTTTTCCCCCAGCTTTATTGAGATATAATTGACATATAGTATTGTGTAAGTTTATGTTATACAGCCTTCATTTTTATTTGCTATGTCTGGCAACAATACTTTAAGTGCACTTATTGAAAAACAAGAAAGACCAGAATAGTTAATTAAGCATTCAACTTAAGAACCTAGAAAAAAGGCACAAAATATACCAAAAGAAAGTAGAAAGAAGGAGATTAAAGGCAAAAATTAATGAGTAGGAAAACAAGACCAAATAAAAATAGGAGATCTAATTGCAAAAAATGAAAAGTTGGTTCACTGGCAGAGGCAATAAAATACACAAACTTGTGTCAAGTAGAATCAGGTAAAAAGAAGAAGCGATAAACAACATTTGAAACAAATGAGTATATAATCAGATTCTTAAAAACAGAGTTTTATTTAATTATAAGAACTTTATACTAATAAATTTTAAAGTCAAGATGAAAAGGATTTTCAGAATATGGATTACTAAAATTTTCTTGGGACGAAAAATAAAAGCCAAGCAAACAAAAATAGTTGTGGAGAGTTACAGGACCTTTCTTATTACTTAGATAATTCCTATGTTATTTAAATCTTCCACGTCATGGAAAAAGATCAGTACTTTCCAGCTCATGTTGAAGCTTCCATAACCCTGATACAAAAATTGAACCAGAATAACACAAGAAAAGTTGAGATTAATCTTTTTTTTTGTACCTTTATAGAAAGTTGTTTATTATATCTCGTTTTGGGGGAAAAAAGGGTGCATGTTGTAGAATAATCAGGTAAAGTATTATTCCATTGGTATTTTTTAAATATATTTGTTCCTGAATGTATGTCTATTTTTAGATGTTGATATGTAGAATATACTTAGAAAAAGGGGTCTGGAAAGATACACACAAAACTATTGAGTGTTAATATAGTATTGGAAGGGAAAAGGTGAGAGGGGATTTTCACTCTTTATGCATTGTGATATGTTTTGAATATTTGTACAATAGGCATGCACTGTATAACACAGAAAATTATTTTTTAATGTGCTTTGACTGCTTCAAATAAATTGTAAGAGTCCTTAAAGGACTTTACACACAGTTTATCTGTCACAAATGAAATACATTACACGTTTCCAACTGAACAAAATATTTCCAAATTATTTAATTATATATCCACTGAGAAGGAAACAAAGCAAATCCTGAAGCATCTCCCATTTTATTTTCAATGGGTAAGAAGTTATGACCCTGACTCAGCTTTTACTTCTTGGAAATAATTTTATTTTAGAAACTGGCCTCACAATGACCCTGCACCAGCACATCCTGGTGTTTTTCATCACACCTTTGTCAGTAGAGGGCTGGAGACACCTTCATTCTCAGTGCTGCTTTATTTTCTTTATAAAATAAAGGTGCTTGAGATGTGAACTCAGAGGGATATGAGAAACTGGTTTTTTAATTAATTAAAATATATAAGAACTGGCCTTTTGTGAATAGTTTTAAAGGTGTATTGTTATGGATTAAATACTATTCAAGATGCATTATTTTTTTAATCCCTCTTTAGTGCTGCATCAAAACATTTTTTAATCGTGTTCTCCAAACTTTGAATAATATTTCTAGAATGAAGACAGAATTAAAGAGAAGAAAAGGCACTTGGGAGATACAAAGCATTTTTGTCCAGTGGTTCTCAAAGAAAACTTCATCCTACAACCAGGCAGCGTAGAAGAAGCAGCTAAATATCGAGAAAGGATCTATTACTTTTCAAGTCCTGAGGCTAAAGAAAAGTTTTTGGAGCAACCTGAGGTGTACGTGGCTCATGAAGAACCACTAAAGGTGAAAACAATATGCCCATCCTAACGATTGTTCCTGTGTACTTTTTAGGGACTTATTACCGACATCCATTATTTCACTCAATAGTGAAGTCCCCAATCTAATATAATAATGCTGTGGAAATAGCTAAGTTCCAAGAACAGCTTTTTGGAATAAAAACTAATTGCTCTATTTTGATTTCTTCAGTAATACCTTGTGTCAAACCAGTTGATATCTTTTTAGCTGAAGAAGAAAGACACAGCTGAATTTATTGCTTATAAATTTATTGGATTTATTTTATTGCTTAATCATTTTGAAGTACCATTATAACATCTAGTTCTTGTTAGACATTTTTCACACAGCATTTTTATATGTGATTTTGCCATTGTGGATATGAAATAGTACGTAGGAAATCTTTGGGCATGTCATCCTTTGTTTCTCTTAATTATTTGATTAGTATAATTCCCTAGAATGGGATTATAAGATCAAAGTATATAAATTCCAATATATTATCACAACTTTCAATAATACCAATGCCTTATTAAACAGAACATATAGAACACAGTTTAAACTCCTGTGGATAATTTGGGCTATTTTCATGGACCTCAATTTATATATGGTGCCCATGGAGACTATCGAAGTACACAAATGGTTGTTCCTCTTGCCCTGCTGGTGACGTGAGTCACTTAGGAATGTGGCCTTTTGTCTTCTTTTGGTGCTTTGCTTTCCTCATAGTCTGTTTCACTGCTTGTGATCTATTGCCTTGTTTTACACATATCCCTCTGGACAGGAGCCTGAAATCTTGATAGTGATTCCACTGTTTTTCTGCAGAGTATTATGTATCTACATCCCTTCACTTCATAACTACTTGAATACGCTCTGAATTCCATACAGCTCTAGATTGCTAGAGGTTTAACCTGTGGTTGAGTGAGGTGTTTACAGCAATTTCACCACTGAGGGATTTAAAATGTGACCCTAAGTTATGGTGTGAGACTGCACCTACATAACTTTGTAACACTTTATTTTCATTATTCACTATTCTGTTTTTCATTATTTCTTTTTTTCAAGGGATGCATCAGTTGACTTTAATCTTATCACATGACCAATTTTTCTTATTGAGTTATAATTGGCATACAATATTATACTAGTTTCAGGTGTGCAACATAGTGGTTTGACATTTATGTATATTGTGAAACGATCACCAAGATAAATCTAGTAACCCTCTGTCACCATATAAAGTTACTACAATATTGTTTCCTATCTTCCCTATGCTGTATGTTACATCACATGACATATTTATTTTATGGCTAAAAGTTTGTACCTCTTAATCCCCTTTACCTATTTCTCCCATCTCCCCATTCCACATCCCCTCTGGCAACCACCAGTTTGTTCTCTGTGTCTATGAGTCTATTTCTGTTTTGTTATGTTTATTTCCTTGTTTTGGTTTTTAGATTCCACATATAAGTGAAATAATACAATATTTGTCTGTCTCTGTCTGACTTATTTCCTTTAGCATAATACCCTCTAGGTCCATCATGTTGTCACAAGTGGCAAGATTTCATTCTTTTTATGGCTAATATTCCAGTGTGTGTATGTCTATATGTGTGTGTGTGTGTGTGTGTGTATGTTTGTACCACATCTTCTTTAACCATTCATCTGTCAATGGACGTTTAGGTTGCTTCCATATCTTATGTATTATAAATAATTCTGGGATGAACATAGTGGTAAATATATATTTTCTAATTAGTGTTTTCATTTTCTTCAGATAAAAACACAGAAGGAGAATTGCTGGATCACAAGAAAGTTCTATTTTTAGTTTTCTGAGGAACCTCCATGCTGTTTTCCATAGTGGCTACACCAATTTACAGTCCCACCAACAGTGCATGAGGGTTCTCTTTTCTCCACATCCTCACCAATACTTGTTTCCTGTCTCTTGAGTGATAATCATTCTCACAGGTGTAAGATGATAGCTCACTGTGGTTTCGATTTGCATTTCCGTGATAATTAGTGATGTTGAGTATCTTTTCATGTCATGCCCAATATACCTAATGATGAAATTCAACTGACTATGGAATCAGTTCCACGGGAAGCTATAAACTGAGAGTGATGAAGGGTGGTCACCCAGAGAGAAATCCAGATATAATTAACAGAAGAGTGAATAAATGCTGAGTAGCAAAATCAACAGATGTTTACATAATGGTCTTCCTCTTGTTTTTGTGGGTTTTTCACACCCTTGGTTTGCTGAAACACATTTTCAACTAACTTTCTTCATATCTGAAAATGTCGTTATTTGATTCTTATATACGTTTGATAATTGGTATGGGCATAGAATTCTGGTTGAAAATTATCCACTTTCAGAGTATTAAAAATACTGCTTTATTTTTGGTAGCATCCAGTGTCACTAGGCTGATTCCAATTTCTTGGTGGATTGCTTTATTTTTAAAATATCTGAAAGCTCTTAAGAGCGTCTTTTCATTTTTTGTGTTCTTAAAATTGTCCAGGATCTTTTTTATTTATTGCACTTGACCCACAGTGCATATTTAATCTGAAATTGTATGTTTTTCATGCTAGGAAATCTCAGTATTTCACAGTACTATTGAACTTTTTACTTAAGCAATTATAGTTTTAATCTCTAAGAGCTCTTTCTTTTCTCTGAGGTCTTTTTTTCAAATATCCTCTTCTTTTGTGGACTTATCATCTTCTTAAATTTCTTTTTTTTTAATTTCCCTTTTCCCTGAATTACCTGACTCTTCTTTCTTCTGTATTTTCTCTGATATTTTTTCCCTGCATCTTTAAACTCTTCTCTGAGCATTTTCTTCACAAGGACAGAAGGGGATGAGGCTGTCTGTGCTCCTTGCTTTCCTCCCCTGCTCGCCATCCATTACTGCCAGCCCCTTTGAGGCTCATTCACTCCAGTTGTATCACCACCTCCCCACTCCTCACGTTCACGAAAGATTTAGCAGCTCCTTCATCCCAGCTCTCACCATTGTGCTTGACAGTTTCAGCATCAATGGACAATTCACACATCTGGACCTCTGTGGGGTCTCTGGTTTCAGGCTTTCCCATCTCCAGTACAGAGATTACAGGAATTAATGAAGGAGCGTCTAATGTTCCATTATCGATGGACTTTTTGTTTGGTAGGGAGGTTTTGTTGTTGTTGTTTTTATCATGCTAAGAAAGTGTCTTTCCATTCTTCCTTAATTAGAACTTTCTTAAAAACCATAACTAATTTTATTTAATGCCTTTTGGCACTTAATATCAAGATGATCTTTCTCTGAGGACCATGGTTGATGCAATGAGTCATGTTAATTGATATACTAAATCGAAACATCCTTGGTTTGTGAAGTGATAGTTCAGCCTTTGGGAGGGCAGTTAATAGTCCTTAGTTTTTCTAAATTACTCAAAGTTCCCTTTTCTTCCCTCTGTCCCACTTACCCCTGACCCCACTCACCTGTGGCAGGCTCCTCCATTAAGAATATGCCTTCTAGGCCCCCGTGGCTCTGGCAAAACTGTCTGTGGAAGACAGCTGGCAGAAAAATTCGGCATTTTTCACATTCAGTTTGAAGAATTTCTTCAAGAAAAACTAATGCTCAAAACTGAAAAGAAAATTGGACCTGAATATGAGGACGATTCTGAGGAAGAACAATTTGCAAAACAAGAACTTGAAGAACTTGCAATTCAGGCCAATGTTACAATTGAAGAAGAAAATATGAAGAAGTTGGTAAGAATATTAATACTCTCTTTGTAGATAATTGTGCTTACTGGTATTACTTTGGGAGAGTAGAATATAAGCAGTATAAAACTCTACAAAGTTTCCAAAAAGAAGAAAAAATTAGCCCATAAAAGTCATTTAAGAGTCATCCTCTCCATATGTTGACTACAGATCTTATGATCATATAGAATATAAAATACTGGGTTTTCCATGACTCTAATAAAAATTGGAAAAGCTTTCCCTGACAAAACTGTTGTATGGCATTTATTTGGAACTATGTTATTGAATATGTCTGACCTAGACTGTAAGATTTTCCATTATTGTATTCTCTGTTTTCTATCAAATATCATAAAAATCTGCCCCAGCACCAATGGAGATCCTAAAATATTCATTTCTAATGATACCTCATAAAAATTTTGTATATATCTCTTCAGTGGTTTCTATCTGGGGGTGTGAAAAGAAAGTATCTAATTGTAACTCACTTTTAAACTATTTCTGATATACCTAGACCCTTTTCTTCTCAAACAATCCCCTGTAAATGGATGCAGGTACAGATTGTTTTCCAGATGACTGCTTGCCTGGCCCATCCTTTAGTCAGGATCTAGACTGAATAATTATAAGATAGATGATAAAAATCAATTAAGCCTTATAGGTGTGTGATGTAGAGTGAACAAGGTTTTAGCAAAAAGTGATGAGCCAGATAATCCTGAGGCCTTGTGTGAAAACCAGTCATGCTAATTACTAGTAATTCCTCTTAGCTATAGTAGATATAATTTAATAGTTAAAACCATATTAAATATTAGTTTAAAGAAAAGAGCTCAGATTTTAAAAGGTTTACAAGCAGCCATATAAAAACTGACCTGAGGAAAACAAATCTTTTCCTAATCAACTATGTAACATAATATTCTTTGTTGACACAGAGTTTAAAATTTTTGTTTTGTTTTCTACTTTTTGTTTGTAGCCTCATGAAGTACAATTTACAGAAGAAGAAGAAGCAATCAGATTAAATCTAACAGAAAATGAGCCATTGCCTCCTGAAATTCTTGAAGGAATACTTTCTGAGTGGTGGTTTAAGGAACCAATACGGTATCTTATTTGTTATAGGCTTGTACATTTATTGACTTTTATGTGCTTTATTCTTAAAAGTTAAAATGTAACCAACATAAACTTAAGAATTTTCTCCCTTACTCTCAGGTAAACTGGTGATTCTACACATTAAAAATATCTAAGGAACTATTTTAAAAATGCTGATGCCAGGGGCCCCACCCCAAAACAATTGAATCAAAATTGTTAGAGGTATGAGGTTGGGAGCTGGGCATTGGTGTTCTTTAGAGTTCCCCAGTTGATTGTAATGTGTGATTGTGGTTAAGGACCCATATTCTAAAGCTCATGGTGTACCAGACTCCTTTCCTTGTAACCTTTTAACAATTACAGCGAAGACCACTGTCAACTTTAAGAAAAACGCACAACCTGAGAATTGTGAGTTTAAGTTTTATTTAGGGTCTTACTGAAGACTATAGCCTGGGAGACAGCTCTGAAGAACTGCTCCAAAGAGGTAGCGATAGAGCTAGTATATATATGAATTTTTTTGTCTAGGGAATACTGCAGTCAAGCATACATCTTGGGAAAAGATTACTGCTAATCACAAAGAACAGCTATCTCAAGTTAATGATTTTAGTGCTTTTCTGTGTATAAGAAGAAGCAAGAATCTGGAGTCATTGAAATTCTTCCTGAGATATGCATCTAACTATCTAGAGGCTCATTTATCCAAAGCACAGAGTGCATCTCTATAGAAAAGGACACATATCTTACAGCCAAAATATGTAAATTTTTCCCATTTAATAAGAAAGAAAATCATATTTCTAAATGCCAGTTAAGAGCCGAAATTGTCAAACGTTTATGAAAGTCCTATTTATATGAAGAAAACATATTTAAATATAAATAGTTAAAGGGGGAGGTTATAGTTTAAGTGGTAATAAGTATGCTTAGCATGCGCAAGGTCCTGGGTTCAATCCCCAGTACCTCCTCTAAAAGTAAGTAAATAAATATACCTAATTACTTCCCTCCCTCCTAAAAATAAATAAAATAAAAATAAGTTTAAAATATATATATATATGTAAATAGTTAAAACAAACCAAGTTTTTGATAAATGGATAAACTCTCATTCAAAAAGGGACCGATATCGACTGTCAACTAAACCAAGCCAAATTCTCAAAGCCTGATTTTTTAAAAAATACTCCCTAATGAAAATGTGTTATCATTCCAAGTTATTTTCATGATTCTTAAAGTTTCATCACACTTGGGCAAGTTTTTGAATATGATCATCTTACACATATGAGCCAAGAAAACATTAATAATTGTCACTGGTTACAAAGGGAGCCAGGGAAGAGGATATGAATTGTCTCATGAAAAAAACATCATTAGAAGAAAAATGGCTACAAGGTAAGGATTCTCAGTAGAAGGAGGGGCCAGCCAAGTAAACTCGTTGCATAAAGGGTGACACATTCCCTAGGCTGGGCACTCATCCCAAGCAGAGAACTTATTTTCTCCTGCCCTATGATCTTCTCACAACTTTTAGTAAGCTTCTAATTAATAGTCATTATCTATAAACTGATTAACTGCAATTTTATACTGTAAACATAAGTATAAAATGTTATCATTTTAATCTAATTTCATACATCTGGGAGAAGAAACACCATGTTTACACAAGTAGAAATATTAAAAGAAATTAAAGATACTGCAGAAAACTTTTTAAACTATTCATTGGACTCCCTTATAAAGTTGAGATTTATTTTCATTTTTAAATCAATATTTATAATATAACATTTTAAGTAAATTATAAAATTTTCACCTAGTTCCACAGGTTTTATTTTAGATGGTTTCCCACGATATCCTGATGAGGTCGAGTTTCTGGGGGAACATGGATTTTTCCCAGATGCTGCTGTTTTTATACAAGTTGATGATCGAGATATTTCTGATCGCCTCCTTCCTACCCAAATTGGAAAGTGGAAAGTGAAACAACAGAGGAAACTAGAAAGGAAAAAGCTCATCAAAGAAATGAAGGCAAAAATCAAGGTAGGGTTTGAGAAGAAAATGAAAGAATATACAAATTGCCGTGCTCAGGACAGTGATGGCATCTGGCAGACATGCAATAAGTAATTAAACTTCACTGACCACTACTTATTCGAGTGAAAGGACTGAAGGTAAAGCAAACTCAGAATATGTGTGTGTTTTATTGTGCATGCTTTGCATTTCCTAGTGGTATATACAGTGGTTTCTGTGTATGTCTTGAAAACTCCAAGGAGACTGGCTTTTCATAACTCTACAGTTAAAGCACCTACGGTAAAACTCTAGTTTAAAAAGAGGAAATAATAAGGGTTTTTGTAACTCTCATCCTCTGAAAAGCTGCAGGATCTCTCTGGGGCTCATAAACTAAACTAATTTGATTCCACTCAGTTTTATAATTCTATCTACAAGTGTATCTTGAATGTCAACAAAACATGAATTATCTGGAATGTATACTCAGTAGTTGCCAGATAAAAGGAGCAGAGTCCTGCTGGCCTAGACCAAAGCCCCCAGGGCATGTCTTTAAGGCACCTCTCTGATCTCCCAGTATTTAAAGGGACTTCAATTTTGAGAGCCTGAGCCAATGAGCTTCAAAACCCAAGGGGTGCTGATTAGTTTTTATGCAAGCTTTAAGGTCACATCAGACAACCCATTCACAGCATTAGATTTAGAGGCCCCTAGAAATACTAGTGGATTACCCTGACACACTGTGTCTGTGAATGTATCCAAAGTACATATGCTTTCCTTACATGTATATGTGTTTTAGGTTATTTTAGACAATTACATTTTAATCATACAATAAAAGATTATCAAACATTTTCAGTTAAAAGCCTCCAAATATTTCCCTATTTTTTCCATGTGCAAAATCCACTTCCTCATCAAAAGCAAACAAATAAGTAATACATTTTGAAAAGGAATTCTAAAATTTGTAGAAAAAGTGACTGATCCCAAGTGCTATTGATCATTTGGGAAGGAAATAGCTGACCAAGTGGTCCAGAAGTACAGAGATGTAAGTAACATAATTCCCACCATCACCTGCTTTTCTGGAAAGTACACAGTCCTTCTGCCCAAATGTTATTCCCACATTGGGGAAAAAATATTAATACATAGAAATAATCTTATCATTATCCATTAACATTTTTAATCTCTTTCTTTGACAGGAAAATATGATTTCTAAAAGAAGGGCTGAACTTATAATAGAGAGAGAGAAGAAAAGAAAAGGGGGGGAGGTAAGTAAATAAAACTGCTTTTAAAAAAAGCAGGACACACACATATATAACATATTTTGCATATATATAAAATCTCAACAATATAAAATAAAAATATGCATTGAAGTCTTGAAGGAAATATAGAGTTTATGCACAAGTACTGAGATTATGTATCATTTTTATTTTCTTTACACTTTTTGGTGTTCTATTACTATTTACAATGAGCTTTTATTACTTTTATAATCAGAAAAGTGAACATTTTTAAAGGAAAGACCACTAAGGATGTTTCAGTAATCTAATACAAAATATAATAATACTACATTAAATTGTGCTTCTAGTGGATTTCCATTTGTGCTTTTCACACTTCAGCCCATGCCACAGGGTGATGGGCTGGGAGCTTGGGAGTGAGGTCTGGACAGAGAATCTGTGAAGTTGTGCTGGAACTCAAATATAGATTTCCTCAAGATAAAGAATGGAATGGGGCAGAGCCTATGGACCCTCAGAGTCATGTACTGTGCAGGATGCTTAGTACTGTTCCCCTTATCCATCTGCTGATTTTTTTTTAAGGTAAACCTTGAAGATCATGAATTTTATTTTGTTTAGAAGAGCTAGTCCCAAATTGACCTAGCTGACACAAATGCTATAGCCAAGCAATTCAGAAGTGCTGAAGTTAAAGAGGAGAGGGAGTTCTGTAAGGGACCTGAGGCTCATGCTTGTAGTCATCTTACCAGTGACCGTGTAACCAAGGCAAAAGATAGGATAGCCCCTGTCTTCTTCCATTTCCTTCTGGCTTAAGGACCCTTGTAGTGTCTTTTCAAGGCTGAACCTCTTGTAATCTGATTTCGATCTGCATAAAAATGTTCAACAAAGGGAAGGAGAAAAGAGAAATAATGGAAAATATGACTTGCTACATGTGCAACCGTGTATCATCCTCCTGATATGGTTATGATGGACTTATAAACAGAGGACTGTTAGTAAAATGCAACTGTAACTGTGGGTCAAAACATTGCAGAAGAAGAATTGGAATAATTGTTTCTTTGTCTAAAGTATTTACAACCAAAAATAAATCTAAAACCATTAGGCTGAGAAAGTCATGGCACCATGTACGGATCAAAATCCTCCTATTTATTATTTGCCTTGATCTTCATTCACCCATTCAGTCAGCCCATCAGCATATCTTGACTGAGTACTCACTGCGAGCCTGACACTATTTCAGACACTGGAGTATCAGTCATGAGCAAAATTGACGGAAGTCTCTGGCCTCATTCTCATGCTCATTCCCTGAATAAACATGTTCTGAAAGTCTAGTCTATTCAAGGCATCATGCTAATATTCAGAATCAAAAAGACAGACATCTTAACCTGGGATCAAGCACAGTTAACTCCCTTTAGTCCTTGGGAGTCCCTCGTGGTCCCTTTAAGAATCACTTCAAATGTCTCAGCAACGTATTTTTAAGAGTCCAGACTTTAGTGTTAACCAGACCCAAACTGGTATCCTCCCTCTTACTCGGAGCTCTTTTGACTTTGTTCACTGCTGGCCCCCAGTGCCTAACATAGTGCTGACACATGACAGGCCCTCAGCTTACATTTGTTTTGTTGCTGCTGTATAACATTGAGCAAGTTGTTTAACCTCTCTGAGCCCGGATTCCTTTTCATTATAAAATGGGAAGAGTAATAATATTTAGTTCCCTAATTAGTAATACTTTAATTTCCCTTTGCTGGTCTTCAGTTAAATCTTTTTCTTAAGAATTAGTCTTTAGGATAAATTAACATTTTTTTCTTTAATTTTTTCTTCCACATTTATTGAGCTATAACTGAAGTACAGCACTAAGTTTAAGGTGTACAATATGATTTCACTTACATACATCATGAAATGATTCTCACAATAAGTTTAGTGAACTTCCATCATCCCATATAGATGCAAAAATTAGAGAACTAGAAAAGCGTTTTTTTTTCTTGCGATGAGAACTCTCAGGATCAACTCTCTTAACAACTTTCGTATATAACATACAGCAGTGTTAGCTACATTTATCATGTTGTATGTGATAAATATATTCTTAGTTTATAATTTTTCATTTGTTAGAATGGTAGGATTTCTTATTATTTTTATTCAAATATTCAATATTCTATCTTATAAATAGGATTTTATGAGTTAGCTCTCTTGAGACTTAATTTTTTATAAAATTGGCTGTGTATCTGACACAATTAATTTGTGCAAACTGACTTTTAGAAGATAATCCCTGAGATTTCTTATAAAATTTTGTGAGATTAAAACTGTGTATTGGCTGTTTTTAAAGCTTTTTTGATAAGAATTTTTTAAGATATGTCCTGCTACCACCTCAGACAAAGAAAGACTAAAACAAAACATAGCATCACAAGGATCACTTGGTGTGATTGTTGTTATCAGTTAATGTGACACCCTGAGCTGAATCCATCCTGACTCCACATAGACCCTGGAGCTTGCTTTCATGCAGATAACCAGTGGTCTTCTCATCATTTGCCTCTTTGTACAGGATATGCAGCTCCTTGACTCACTCACCTTTTTACCACCAATTGGGGAACCATATGCAGATAAAGCCCTTCCCAGGTTTGTCTCCTCTGCCTTAACAAAAATCATTGCCTTTACTGTCTCATTTTTTAGCAAGACAACAACACTTTTAACACCAGAAATCACTTCAAAGTCTGAAGGCGACTGCTTCCATTAATTTCATAGGAAAATGTCGCCATCATGTGGAATTTAATCTCCAAATGTGACTGAAGAATATTCTATAAGCCAACCCTTCGTATAGATTTGCACTGTATGCCTCCCAACTCCTCAGAGGCCTTGCTTCCACTCTAACTCCTTGCTCCAGAATCTCTGCTCTTGGCCTGTACACTGGCTCCTTCTCTGGCACCTGGGTCCCTTCTACCAAGTGTAGGGTAGCCACAGGCAGAACGCCATGGAGAGCCAGGACAGGAACCAGGGGTGCAAGTAAGCAGAACTGTGGGAGACTGTACCCAGGTGAACAGTTAAGGAGATACATACCCTAAGTACTGAGGAGAAGCCAAAGTCAGGTTCGCTGAGGCTGATGAGGTTCAGGATCAAGCACCAGGCCAAGAGAAGGCAGAGTGTATAGGCCCAAAAGTCTGTGTGCAGAGGGCACTTTGGTATGGAACAGAAAGCAAAAGTGTGAGTGGGTATACAAGTTGGAGATTGAGTTTCAAGGCACTGAAAATGAAACAGTTCAGAATGGTGTGTTAAAATCTAGAGTTAGAAGGCAACATCATCCCCTGGTGTAATAAAGGAATCTAGAGTCTGAATCTAGTGCATCTGTATTGGGAAGAGCCTTGAAATTCTGAAGTCTTCTGCTTCTTCTTCTTCCATTTCTTCATGTCTTCCTCTCTCATTTCCTCCCTAATTGTAAGCATTGTGACTATAATCTCCATCACTATCCTGGTTAACCTTCTATCCCAATGTAGCCTTCCTCCTCCCTTCCCCTACTGATAGAGGGTTACGAGACAGCTTACCCAAGATCAAGTCCTAATTCTCTGAGACAGTGAATTTTATTTGCTTTCTGTTTGTCCTCTGTTTTCTGTTTTTCCTTCCAGCCTTCTCTATGATTACTTCAATATATTTTAGAAGTCTATTTAAATTTTCTGTTGGCTTTTCAGTTATACCTCTAGGCATTCTTTTTTAGTGATTGCTCTCAAATTACATATACACCTTTAGCTTTTCACAGTCTACTTAGAGTCAATATTATTCCATGTAATACTGTGGAAGCCTTGTGACTCTACAAGTCCATTTATACCCACCCCATTCTGCTAACATCCTTTGTGCTCCACTTGTCATGTGTTTCACAACAGCCAAATACGTTCTAAACTCCACAAGAAAAAGTTCTAGTTTTTGTTTTAAATAGTCATATGTATTTTAAATAAATTCAAAGGAAAATAAATCCTTTCTTTCATGTATACAGATATTTACCACTTCTGGTGTTCTTATGCCTCCCTCTGGTTTGAATGAAACCAGAGGGATGGAAACAAAGTGGTCGTCTGAATTGTTTTCCTGTATTGTTTTTCTCTGGTTGCTTTCAAGCTTTTCTGCATAGTTTTGCTTTTTAATAGTTTGATTATGATATACCCACATGTCATTTTCTTCATATTTTTTGGTTTGGGGTGTTCACTAAGCTTCTTTAATCTCTAAATTTATGTCCTTCACTAAATTTGGGAAGACTTTGAACATTATTTCTTCAGATATTTTTTCTGCCCCATTTGCTCTGTCTTCTTCTGAAAACCAGTTACACAGAGGTTAGATCTTTCACTATTGTTCCACATGTCCTGGAGCTGTTAATGTTTTCAATCTTTTTTCTCTCTCTTCTTTAAGTTGGATAATTTCTGTTGATCTATCTTCAAATTCACTGATTCTTCCCTCTGTCATTTCCATTCTACAATTAAGCCTGTCCAATTTTTTTTATTTCAAATACTGTAATTTTTAGTTCTAAATTTTCAATTTGGTTTGTTTTTTATATTTTTTACTTCCCTCTGGAGATTTCCTACATTTTAGCTTGTTTTTCTTTTCCTCATTGATTATAGTGATAGTAACTGCTTTAAAGTTCTTGATTGGTGACTCTAACACTGGACTTGGTATTTAATGGTTATCTTTTCTTATGAGAATGGGTCATATCTCATGATCCTTTATATTTTTATAATCTTGGATTATATCCTAGAACCGTGAATGTTATGTTGTGGGGATTCTGGATTCTGTTATATACCTTCAAAGAGGGCTGGGCTGATGTTTTTGTTTTAGCAGACAATTAACTTGGTAAGACTAAACCTGGAGGCTGTCGTGCCTACAATGGGTGGCAGTTCAGCTTATACTGTTCTCAAACAGCCCATATGTGCAGAATTCAGCAATTATCCAGAGACTTGGATAATCTTTGCCAACTGAGTTTGGCGTTTCTTCTCTGGCTCTCTCAGCTCTGGAGTTTACCCTTACTCTCCAGTGCCCTGATTGTGGTTCCTTCCCCTGCTTCCCCCAGCTAGAAAGACAGAGAGCTTTCTATCAGAGTTTTTGTCACCCGATGTCACCACCACTCTGATGGAGGCTGCCCTCTGAGCATGCACAAAATAAGAGAACTGACCCTAAGCCCATTGCTTCCTCCAAATTTTGACTGTTCTATAAAATTTGTCCATGGTTTATAGTCATTATCTGCTAGAGGTTAAATGAACTTATTCCTTCATACTAGAAGCAGGTGTCTGAGACCATGAAGTTTAGAACATGTATCTCCTACCAAGGACTGAAAGATGGTAGATGTAGGGGAAAAACAGCATTTTTTCCAGAAGACCAAAATGTCATTTATAGAAAAATAAAGCCTTTTTCCCTAAAAAGAATTAACCTGTGGGTCTTTCAGATGGTCTGCTCTGAAGATTTTTAGGATATTAATCTTTAAAAAAAATTCAACATTGTACTGAAGGAACTAGCCCCAGCAGTGTGATAAGAAAAAGAAACAGCATACATGTTGAAAAGTAAGAACAGACTGTATTATTTGCATATAATTTGGTTATCTAGAAAGTCCAAGAGGGTCAATTGCATAAAGTCATTTAAGGTTATTTCCATGAGCTCCTCATGTAACAGTGACACTTGTGCTCATGAAGGAAAAAGGTAAATAATTTTTAAAGTAATTAAATAATATGTCTAGAAAATGGTAGGTGCCACAGAATGTCAGTTGGTGCCCTTCATCATTGAGGGCAAGATCCAGCCTGCCTGCTCTTCTCATCCTCACATCTTAAATGAAAGCATGAGACAGCCTGTCCTGCTCACATACCCAGAGCTTACAGTTGTTCTGAATTAATCAACTTAGTCCTTAAAAATGAATAGACAACGAAGGATTACCATGCACTTGAGGGAAATTATCAATACAAAAAGAACCAAGATGAACAAATAGAATAATTGACTCTGAAACAAATAGACAATACACAAAATATTATTAAACTGTTTTTAAAGTTCCCATTTACCTCAGAAAATTCAAGAGCTTGTATCTATAAAACAAAAACAGGATGCTATGAAAAACCAGAGAACAAAAAGCAGTTCATAGAAACTATAATAAAGAAAATATAGCATTTAAATTGACTAAAAGTTGAATTAAAAAATTAGAAGAAAAAGCTAAAGAGTTTCTCAAATGTAGAATAAAAATACAAGAGATAAGGGAGTGGGTATAGCTCAGGCTCTCAGTGGGCAGAGCACATGCTTAGCATGCACAAGGTCCCGAGTACAATCACCAGTACCTCCATTTTAAAAAATGCAAGAAAAAAAATGCAAGAGATAGACAATATGAAAGAAAAAACTAGGGGTATGTGGAGTCAATCCAGTATGGTTAACATCCAATATGCATTCCAAAAAAAAAAAAAGTGAAAAAGAGAGAAAATAAACATGAAAAAAAAATCTACAAAGGAATGTGGATAAGATTTGCATCAGACTTCAAACCAGCAATACTGGGTGATAGAAGACAAAGACAGTGCCTTCAAAATTCTGAGTGAAAATGATTTTCAGCCTAGAATTCTATATCTACGCAAACAATTTATAATGTGTAAGAATGGAGTGGAAATATTTTCAGATATTTAAGGTCTTAGAAAATTAGGCTTTCATATATTCTTTTTGAATAAAGTAGACAATTGATATGGTAAATAATCTTTTCCACCTACAATATAAAACAAACAAACAAATATGGGGGTAGGGGCTGGACAAGAAAAATCATTATCTGAATATGGGGCAGATTAAAATATGGCATGATTTTAAATAATGGGAAAAATAGTGTTTGACCTTGATATTTGAAACAGTCTCCTTAGAATGGCACATGTTTTCTGATATAGAGTTGCATTCCTTCTGTCACTATCTTTGGCTGTAGTGAATAAAGATTATGTAATTAAATATAACAGGTGCTATTTATTGGATTTCATTTTCAGAATCAAATACTGTTTGCTTTTAATTTTCACAATTAATTTCTACATGAAGCACTAAATACTTAACTGCAGTTACAAGACAGAAATGTGACGGTAATAATTTTGAAGACAAAAATTTAGGAACTAAAGAGAGGGAAAAATGGAAGAAAGAGTAAGGACATTTTCTTGAATTGTGGAGAATCAAAACATACAACAAAAAATGAGAACTCAATAAATACAGATTTAGGGGTAGGATTTAAAGTTATAGGCACTTCAGGCAGAATTAAGAATTAAAAATATGACTAAAACTGAGGTATAGGCAGAAGAAAAAGAGTAATGTTAAGTCAGCCAAATTTCTCATTATCACTAGCAGGAAAGAGAAACCAAACAGCACAAGGGTCAAAAGTAGTGATCTTTTACTATTTATTTTGTTACTTATTAAACTGGTTTCTATAGAATAACAACAAAACAAAACAAAAAAACCTGCATTTTTTAAATGCAAGAATTGCTAAATAAAAAATCATGAGATGCATGTTCTGATATGGAAAGAAATTTAAATATGTCACAAAATTATTTTTCAGCAAGTTGTAGAAAATAGAATGATTTCATTTAAGTATAAAATAATATTAATTGTATGTGTGTATGTGTGTGTGTGTCCAAAAGGATCCTAATCAAATTGTTAACCAAAACTATTTCCAGGGAAGAGAGTAGAAATAGAGCTGTAAGTATAAAGGGAGACTTTTTTTTTACCCTATATGATGCTGTATAATTTGATCTTTATAGCAAAAATAACTTCTTTTTAAACGTATATAGTTTAAGTTTTTTAAATTAACAAACAAGTTGGAAGAACTATTAGCTAGAGCTGGAGAGGTGAGCACAAGTTCACCTGAAACTAAGATGTCCCCAGCTTGTAGTGTGAACTCATCCCCTCATACTTCCAGTGATCCTTAGAAAATCAAATCTCAGGATAAAAAATTGTCAAAATACAAGAAAAAAGAAAAAGTAGTAGGTGGTCTCAAAATTCAAATTAAAAAGTTCTGAGAAATCTCAGATTTGTCTCATCGCCAAACTCCTTTTGGGGAGAGAGGAGCCTAAGCACAGAGCAGGGAAGGGCCCTTATCCTCTCATCTTCCTCCGACACCTACAAGTCCAAATCCCAGCTGCAAGTGCCTTCTAAAGGAGCCAGGGTTTAATCAGTTAGAAAGATTAGGAAATAGCGAGCTAATCACAAGACTGCAGGCAAGAGATAACGAGAAGGCAAACAGTAGAGTGGGACTGAAAAGGAGGAGGGGGTCTAAAGGACTATTTAGGACTCCCGTCCTTGGAAACTGGATGTGCAATAATGGAGAGCAAGGAGTCAAAATAACTCCAAGGTTTCCGACTGGAAGGCAGTGCTGCAACTGGGAGGAGTACCTCAGGGCGACCAGTGCAGGAGGATCAATACGGTAGGGCTCAGATTCGTGCAGAGCCTGTGCAGTACCACCTAGTATCAGTATCATGTCATGGTGTTTAATAATCATTTATGTATATTCTTGTTTCCTCAGATAAGCTGTAACCTCCTAAGGGGCATGTACTGTTCTATTAGTACAGTGCTTCATACAAAATGACAATAATAGCTTTAAAAGCATAATGGGAATAATAGCTATCATTTGCATGCTTACCATGTGCCAGGCAGTTTCCTAAGGGTTTTGCATGTATCAGCTTATTTAATCAGCTGCCAACAACCATGTGTGGGAGGTACTTTCCTTATTCCTATTTTGCAGATGAGGAAACTGATCTTGTCCAGGCTAATACAGCTAGTGAGTGTCTTATACTCTCTCCACTGCATTAAATATTGTTATTGAAGACCACCAAAAACATATCACATTCTGAAAACGACAGCATTAAATATTAGCAGTTAGTATCTCGTCTGTGTATTTCTTTATGGTATCACTGTGGTGTCCGAGTCTTGAAGGCGTTAAATTTCTGGGTGCCGGATATTTAAAACTTCACCGTGTCAGTAGTTGAATGTTGCATGCCATACTAACGAATATCCACTTGCTCCGAAATACCCCAGATAATTAGTTAGCCTTGTCATTTGCTCCATCTTCTATATGTGTATTAAAAGGGAATATTTTCTTCCTTAGACAATTAGAGAAGATGAAGATATTAGTGAGGAAGATCCTGAAGAAGATGCAGATGATATTGAGAACATACTCGAAGATGAGTTTCCAAAAGATGAGGAAGTGATGAGTGAGAAAGATGAAGAGCAGGAGATTGATGCACTTGAACGCCTGAGAAGTGAACTGCGAGAAAAATTTGAAGCAGACATGAGTAATTTACAAATAATACAGGTTATTACTTTTTATTTTTCATGATTTGGAAAATAACACTTGAGAATGAAACAAAAGCAATTTGCTGTATGCCTTGATCTCTTTTTAACATTTCAAAAGAAATGTATGTTTTTAGGGCTGTGTTGCCTTTCATCAGCACCGCTTACAATTATAGAAAAACAGTTAATAAATCAAGGGCAGCAGGGAAGCCATAGAGGGTCAAAGGCTTTAGCTGCCAACACCCAGCCACTTGGAAGCTAACAAATATTTGTTCTCTAGACTGAAGTGGTCAAGCCACCAGCAATGTCTTTGTACCATGGCTGAATACTACCAGCTTCCTTCCCACTAAAAATATTTCCTTTATGATTTCTCTCATCAGGAAGAATTTGAAAAGTTTTTGATACCAGTAATGCTCATTAATGGAGCTCGGAAAATCCACATTGTACAATATATGTTGAATACAAAACTGAAACCACTGGTGGAGAATCGTGCGAGCATTTTTGAGAAATGTTATCCAATATCATCACGCCTTGCCCAGAAAATGCTTAGCTTTACCTACAAGTATATAAGCTCATTTGGCTACTGGGACCCTGTAAAGGTAGTGTCAGCAAATGCATCTGAAAGCCATGCTCTTTTATTTCTCTTTTTAAAAATATGTTTAAAAAGAAGGCAGTGGATAATTTCAAAAAATTGTAAACATTGTACAGTATTCTTAACTAGCTGTAAAAATATGTGTGGTGGTTTTGCCTTTCTGAAGTAGGAAAAAATTAGTCAAAGGGTTTAATTTCTTTCGTCTATTTCTGTAGAGATAATCCAATTCCAACTTGGTTTTGACTCTGTAGCAGAAGATGATAGTAGAAATATTTCTCAGACTAGACATCTACAGAGCTGAGCTCTGGCACTAATTTGCTATCTAATTCTAGGCAAGTCATTTAGACTCATTCTGTTTCTTCACCTTTAAAATGGGAGAACAGTGCTATCAGGCCACTGTGATAAAATGCAAGGGTGTAAAGCCCTCTGAAAAGTGTGAGATACCATACAAAATGTGCCCTTAATGTTCATCACAAACTTGTTTCTAAGTACTGTATTTTTATTCAGGGTGGACAAATACATTTAATGCAATTGGAATTCAATAACTTCAAATGTGGGATGGCTTTCAACAAATTCAAAAAAGAACATGCCATCCACTGTTCCAGTCCCTGGGAATAGAGCAGTGAAGCAAAGAGACAATGTTCCTTTTATCATGGGTCCTATATTCTAGTTGAGTTGGGGAGAGAGGATAGGCAATAAATAAGTAAATGAACAAGTAGGTTCTTGTCAGGTTGTATTAAGTGCTTTGAAGACAATAAACATAATAGTGACCTGCCCTCTTGACCAGTGTACCTTCTTATTCCCATCAATGATGTAGCACAGTGGAGAAGACCATGGCCTCTGGAGCCAGACTGCCTGAGTTCGAAACCACTGCTTACCAGCTGAATGGCCTTGGACAAACTACTTAACCTCTCTGAGCTATTCCCAATTGCTCAATGGGAATAAGAATAGCCCCTACCTGATAGTATTGTTACAGTGATTGAATGAGTTAATTGCTGTAAAGTATTTGTGTTGCAAGCAAGTGCTTGGTTTTTTGTAAGCACTCAATTAATATGTTGTTTTTATTAACATGTATTACTATTATTGGTCACTGATAAAAATATTTTGGAAGAAGGGATCCAAAATGAACCAGGTGTACATTACCTGAAACGTCCTTCTTGGTTGATTTGACACAATCAATTTCAGTTCCGCTTACTTGTGTTAACTTCTTTATCTTAACCATTAAGGATGTCAAGAGAAGCCTTTTCAAATAGAGAAACACTGTAACAGTTCCCACCATAGAGAATCAGATAGAGTTAAGCATGTATTAGGATCACCTAGAAAGCTTCTGAAAAATAGTTACGCCCTACCCTTCTTTTTTGAGATGGGCAAGAAAGGAAAAGAAGCAGGCAAAGTCAGAACTCTATTTAAGGACCCGTGTCCAAACATAATAAGGATTGTACACAGATGCCTTGTGGAGAAATGAGTGTATGGTCATAGGAAGGGTTTAAGTGTATAAATAATCCTTTTTCAGGACTGTTGGGAATCTTTCTGGGTGCCCGACAATTTGATGTTTCTGATATGATGACACCTTGGGTATTCTGACCTACAAAGGAGAAAGATGCCTGCTAGATATTTTGGCCAACAGCTAAATCTGCTGTAAGGATTCACACTTAATTTGGAAACTAAAATGAAATCATTGAACTTTCAGCTTTTCTCTTATTACCAAGTATAAGACATAGAGCAGACTTTCCCACTCTATCCCCAAGTTTCTTCTTATCCCCAGCATTTATTCCTAGCCATGAACATCATTCCAACCCAAGAATGATGATGCTGACAACACCATTGACCTGTGACTGCTATCCTGGTGTAGCTCTGCAGGAGGAGCAATATTTTACTTTACACTGTTTCCCACCTATTTTGTCAAGTCTAGGCATGGCTAATGCTTGGCTACCTAAGGCTGTAAAAAAAAAAAAGATAATCAATTAATTACTCAGTTCTCATCATTACCATTGCAAAGATGTGGGACTACTCCTCCCACTCCATTCCGTACCAACACCTTAGGCTGCTTTTTAGGTGTGTTTTTCCCTTTTGTGGCTGTCCTTGATGTTTACGTGAGTGAAACTGCATCTGTAAAAGAACTTGAAAGAGAAGCAGGTGGGATTTGTCCTACCAGTATACCCTCAAAGATAACCCAGGGCCCCACCTGTGTTAGTCTGCTCAGGCTGCCACACCAGAATACCGCAGCCCAGGTGGCTTAAACAACAGAAATGTATTTTCTCACAGTTCTAGGGGCTGGAAGTCCAAGGTCAAGGTGCCAGGAGGTAAGATAGTTCTGATAAGGCCTGTCTTCCTGGCTTGTAAATGACTACTTCTCACTGAGTCCTCAGTGGTTTTCCTCTGTGCTCATGCACTCCTAGTGTCTCTTTCTCTTCTTATAAGAACACTAGTCCTCTTAGATTAGAGCCCCACTCTTGTGACCTGATTTTACCTTAGTTACTCCTCAAAGGCCCTGTCTCCACATACTGTCACTTTGAGGATTAGAACTTCAACCTACAAATTAGGGAGGACACATTTCCATACATAACACTACCTTAGAAATAGACCTCTTTGTGAAGATAAATTGGCCCATGAATATATCCAAACAACTTTACACTCCTTGGCAGAAACATTCAGTATACCCTAAAGACGTTATTAAGGAAATAGAACTATAACTGTCAGAAACTGAAACCTATTTAAGAAAAACTACATTTATTGCATGTGGTTATAAAATAATTTGTTCTTTTTACACAGTTTTTTAATATTTATATTTGATTATAATTTGTTTCATTATTCGATAGGAAAGATTTTCTTATTTTACAAATTTATTTTTTTCAAATTTATTTGGGGGAACTGCTTTTTCAAATAAAGCTCACTTGTGAATTCAATTGTGTATATATTGCAGCTAAGTGAAGGAGAGACAATCAAGCCAATTGAAAATTCAGAGAATCCACTTTATCCTGTAATCCATCGTCAGTATATTTATTTTTTATCTAGTAAGGAAACTAAAGAAAAATTTATGAAGAACCCAATCAAATATATCCGCCAACCCAAACCTAAGCCTACTATGCCCATTAGGATTGCAATTCTGGGGCCTCCAAAATCTGGGAAAACTACAGGTAAGGGTTTGCCTTTGTTACCCTAAAGTGTAAAATAATCTCCTGAAAACTAGGACCACTTTTTTCAGGAAACCAACTATCAAAACTGTCTCAAAAAGAGATAAAAAACCCTCAGAAATAGATGAAAACCATTGAAGAGAAGGCATTTCAAAAACAGAGCCTCACTCCGAAACAGCCTGGGAGCTAATGGTTTTGGAGGGAAATTAAGTCAAACTTCCAAAGAATTAAAAACTCAAGAGATATTTCTTGTGTTTTTATAAGTTTTTTCAGAGCAAGGGAAAAGAAAATAAGCTTTCCAATTTATCTTCAGGGTTTTTTTCCTTAAGGAATATAATCCATACAATCAAAAAAGTATAATGAATACAAATTCATTTTTAGATTAACATGACCTTGATGTCAAATCCTAACAAAGATAATACAAGGAAAGAAATTACAAACTAATATTATTTATAAATATAGTCAAATAATTGTATATTAAGATTTTATTAGCATAAAATTATATTAAAATTTTATAACTATAATCTACTATATTAGTAGTTTAAAGAGTGGAAATTCATTATCTTAATGACTGCTGAAAAGGGCATTTGATAAACTGTATTCCTGTAATGTTTGAATTTTGTATAACTTGAGACTTTGTGGCTTTGGGTTTGTTATTTCTTTTAAGGTAAATAGTCCAGCAATAGGTGGGTGTGGTATTTCAAGATGACGTGATAACAACATGAACAGAGGTTGGTCACAATGAGAATAGAATGGAAGAGGACAGATACTGGAATATTTAAAACGAAAACCATAGGACTGAATGAGTGACTGCATAGAGAATGAACAGGAGGGATGAGGTCAAAGATTAATTTGTCACCAGAAATAATAAAGGAAATTGTTCAAGCTCTTCAGATGAAAAGATTGTTTTCCCTGTTTAAAAGACTGTCATGTTTCTTAACATGACAGTCTTTTAAAGGTCATATTCTAAATATTCACAAAGATAATAGTTCCCAAAGAAAGCCAAAACTTTGATTTTCAAAATATAATCTTATAACCATAGCAAAAAATGAAAATATAGACAGGGCAATGTCATTTCTCAATTCTTTGTTGAAATAGGGGATTTTTTTTAACAAAATGTCCAATTGTAAAAGCTTAATTATTTTTATAACTTTAAAAAAAAATAGGTGTGACTCCAGCATTTGTAGCGAAGCTGAGATGAAGGCTTCTGCGGCTCTCACAGGGGGTCCCCTTCCAGGTGGCCCTCGCTGTGGTCAGTTATCCTGCATTCCCCACGGGACCAGATGAGTTCTCAGTGTCCCCTATGCACTGTGTCTCCAGACAGTTGTGAGGCAGGATCTACAGACCACGTCAGAGCACGCCCACATTTAACAGTAACAGGAAGCCATTGTCTGTGGTCTCACTTGGCAGAAGCAGAGTCCAAGGTTGGGGCCTCTTTCAACCAATGGCAACATCTGTGTGCCATAGAACAAATCATTCCATTTTAGTGAGCCTCAGTTCTCTTATTTATAAAATTGGAATTTCAGTACCCACTCTACCCACTTGATGAAATGGTTGAAAATAGCAAATAAAGCCACAGAAGAAATATTGCCCCATAAGCTGTAAATTACTATTAAAATGTCAGATATGCCATTGTAATGTTTAAAAATTATTTCTTAGAGGATTAACTGCCACCAACTGTAAAGGTTGCTATCCTGATTACAGCCTGGAGTCCATAAATGGATACACAGAGAAACGGTACAATCCAGTGACGCAGGAGCATTAAATTGTTGTTTTGGACATAGTACTGAATAGTAATAGTAAACAGGGGATGCCTTGTAAAGCTCTCAAAAATTTTGCTACCTCATGCATAAGGAAGAAAAAGCTTAAATGTTGGTGTGGTTATGAAAAAAAAAACCCACAGAGATGGTTCATTAACCAGTTCCATCAGCCACATACCTGAAGTACTAATAATGATCAAACTTTGAACAGTATTAATTCAGTAAAATGGGTTTTTTTTTTACTAGCAATTTACTAGGTTTTTACTAGCAATAGTAGCAGTTTTAATTTTTGAAATTGCTGTTGATGTCAATTAACCAGAATCTGAAACTAAGGTTAACTGATGAATTTGTGAAATGAAATAAGTTTAAAGTTCTAATGTTTTTCAGTGGCCAAAAAAATTTCAAGTGAATATGGCTTAAAGCATTTGTCAATAGGAGAAGCTCTGCGTTATGTATTAAGCAACCAACCAGATACAGAGCTGGCACTTATGTTAAATTGGCATCTTCATAAAGGAAGGACAGCCCCTGATGAACTGGCTCTTCAAGCCTTAGAATTATCTCTGATGGGAAGTACATGTAATACCGCAGGGTAAGCAGGGGCAGGGGTATGGGGGGAAGGAGAGAGGTACAAGATGGAGTTAAATCATTCAAAAAATTACTCACTGGAATCTTAAACACTCATCTTAAGCAGGGTTTAAAGCTCTTGTAAAGGGTGTGATCTGCTTCTCAAACTCTGGGCACCTGTATGGTTACATAGTTTAATTTTCTGTCAAGCTGAAACTTGACTTAACACTCACATGCCAGAATAGCAAGCAGACCTCTTCACTCCCTCCAGCAACTCCTGCGCCATCCAGAAGTCTCAGGGTTTACACAGTCCATAAAGGAGGCCCATGTGACTTCCACAGCCCAACAGAGCCTCTCACTGCCTATGGAGTGATGAAGGTGTGGCCCTCCCCTGTCCCCCAGGTGGTACTGGTTCAATGGAGATGGTCTCTCACTGGCCCAGCTCTCTGCCCAGGTAGTAACGCCCCTCTCTTAATGCCACATTTGGACAGGAGAGCCTCGTGTTTGAACTGTGTCTTCATTTTACACCACCTGCTCAGCCATGGCTCCCCCAGCACAGCCACTGGTTATACCCTGTAGTAAAAGCTGGTAAAACCTAAGGCCCTTCTCTTGAGCCCAGATCACTGACCTGGAGTCCCACTGATTTACTCAAGGTTTTATATTAAGAGCCTCCTTGCCCTTCCCTGCCACTGGTCCTTAATCAAATCCTTGGGCAGTTCTCCTAATTTTAGTTATGAGGGAACAGAGTGTCGGGTTTTTCTCAAGAGAAGGCCCTGGGACTTATGCAAGTTAAGTTACCTTCTCCCTGGTGTTTAGCTTTGCGTACAGGGGATCCTAGTGTGGGCAACCACAGTTGAGTCACAAAGGTTTTATTTCACTTTAATACCAGTCCAGTGACTGCCCATTCATCCTGAATTTCCCTAATCCTGAGGACCTCTCAAGTGAGCTTTCACAGGACAAAGAAGTTGAGCTACTCTCCATTAAAAACCAACAACAGCAACCCCATACATTCTCTAGTTGGCTTGGGGGTATGTTAATTTATAATCCTCTCTGCCACGGATGGGAGAGCTAGCTGGCTGGAGAGCCCTGGGGAAGAGCATCCTGTGACATACTCCACACCAGCCCTTCCTGGCAACCATCAGCCAGCGTGCCCAGCTTGCTCCCACCTCAGAATGAGTTTCCTGACTTTGAGGCCACTTCTCCGAGAATTGTGGACAGCCTTTATTCCTCCTCTCAGTGTGATAGTGACATGCACTACCTTAGACTGTTGGTCTAACAAATTCACCGTCATTTCTGCTCACTGGCCTGAGAGGTCTGATAGAATAATTCTCTCCCAGATCCCGTAGGGCTCTCTCACCAACTCCCCATCTCCCCTTGCACACCCAGGCTCCTCACAGAAGTTTACTACAAAAGCAAGCTTAGAATGCAATTTTTCCCATATTTGCTTAATTACTTACTAAAATACTATTAATTGTGCCAGGACCTGTTTTTTAAATTTTAAAACATATTAATGTGCTTCTTAAAATCTTAATTTACTAGACACCTTGTCTTACAGCCACTGACCTTTCAATACAGAAATTGTACAACATCTGTTTGCTATAAAACTACAACGTTAAGATCGGGGTTGGGGAATTCTTCCCCTGCCAGCCATTCTGTTATAAGGACTGTTCATTAGTCCACTAATTGTTGTTCATACCTGATCTACAATCTTTAAAACAATTCTAAGGGTTAATATCATTGCCCCTATTTTACCAAAAACTAAGGCTCATAGAGTCAGACCAGGTTTCAGGTCTAAGTCTGTGTGCCTCTGAAACCTGTTTCATGTTCAGAATAATAGCACCAATTAAATAACAGTGTTCAAGATATTGTGTGTATTATCTCCCAAAGTCTGCCAAAATCTACCTCTGTGATGCTAAGCATCTGAATCAGAGCTGTGTCTGTATGTATGCTACCTTATTCTTGGCTCTTGGGCTGACTAAGTTAAAAATACACAGATAAAGAGGGCAAAGTGACAAGATAAACCAAATTACACAAGGAACAGTACAGGGCTACTCCAAAAGATAGACTGGTTCTGGAAGACAGAAAGGCAGGTCTGAGAAAAAAGAAATCTGGAATTTTTATTTTCACATTTCTCCTTGTTAGTGTTGTCATCGATGGATACCCTGTAACTAAATATCAAGTGAGTCTCTTGGAAGCTAGGTCAGTCATCCCCATGGTCATCTTTGAGTTGGATGTACCTTCCAAAGAGATTTTTAAAAGATTGCTCCTGGAAAAAAAAACAGAACCAAGGTAATATATGTGATGAAAACAATGATAAAAGAATGAACTTTACTCATCCTGGAAAAAAAAAGCAGGTTTTTAATAGCTTTTTCCATTCCTTCTCTGTTTCTCTATTAGTTTGCCTTATCCATTGCACAACAGCTCACAGATTATAGCTGTCAAGAACTCAAAGTACCGCAAAAATATTGATGAGATTAGGCAATATTATCAAGAACAACATCAGAACTGGTATGTGATTGATGGCTTTCACAGCAAATGGTGGGTATGGAATGAAGTCATTAAGAAGGTCCAGATGATGAATAAACATGTGCAGATATACCTGGAAAGAATAAAAGCAGGTATGATAACACATAACTCTGAAAAAAATATGAATTTGAAGTCTGTGCATGCCTGACATGTTACCATAATTTATTCAGTTTGAACACTTGTTCCCATGACCTTAATCAGTAGTTTAAATACATGGTACTATCCAGTTATTGTGGGCATGTATATTTGTTCTAATAAATGACTTCCTCACTCAAGCTATCATTTATTGAAGCCCATGGAACCTATCACATGAAAACAATACACAGTCTCTCACCAGAAGAGTTTATAGTGTTTGGAATGCTGTGGAATAAGCTAGTTTCAAGAATAGTAGTTATATGAAGGCAGGGGTCTGTGGAGTGACACTTGGCAAAATTTTGTTTAATAATCCAAAATTAGTTATTTTTACTATTTGTATAATGAAATTATGGTATTATATAAATGTTGATTCTATAAAAATTAAATCTGAACATAGAATGGCCATTTAATCTATATTTGGAATTCATGAAAGAAAATTTTTGGTTATATATTCCTAGAAGTTTCTTAATATTTTCCCCAAAATACACAAGCTATAAGGAAAGCTACATCTCATAGCTCTAGAAAGAATTTGTCTGTAGGGGTCTCACAGACATCTGGTTAATGACTTTTAACTTTGGAACTACGGAGAAGATATAATGAGGTATGAGGGAGCAACGTGACAGAGAATCTCGCACAAGGAAAAATGCAGTGAGGATTCTGATAATGATGACATCATTGAATCTTGATTTGCTTCATTATTGGGGCATAACCACTATCTCTGGTTCCTGTTTGTCTGCAGATTGGGTATTTGTTTTCGCCTGAGGATTACAAGGCATGAAGATGAGAGTGCAAGGGGAGTGATAACTGAGTTTTAGAAACCTACTCCAATAAGTTTTAGATAACAGCACACTAGTAAAACATTCCACAGCAGACTTCAAAAGTGAAACTTGTGCCTCATTCGCCTTTCTGTTACCCTACTTCATCCTCCCTGCCTTAGACTGGGTTGCCTGCACACAGACTCCGGGTGAAAAGCTGGGTGCAGAAGCCTGACCAGGAAGTACTCTCAGGAATAGAGTTGTCAGATTTAGCAAATAAAAATACAAGATTCCAAGTTAAATTTCAGATAAATAACAAATAACTTTTTTAGTAAAAGTAGGTCCCAAATATTGCATGGGACACATTTATACTAAAAACTGTTCTTTGTTTATTTGAAATCCAAACTGAATTGGACATTCTGTATTTGATCTGTCAGCCCTAGTCAGGAGATACACCTGAGAAAGCAAGGCTGGTAGAGTTGGACAGAGGGAGACCAACCTGCAGTGTGGTGGAAACAGATGCCTCAGTCGATCCTATAGAGAAGCACTGGAGCCAGGATGGACCTTCAAAATTTCCCATATTGAGGGGAGAGACCAGGCTTTATGTCTTCCCATTGGCCTGTCATTGAGCATGTCACTCTGGGAAGGGGTATAACCTGTGACAGAGGGGCAACTCCCAGGGCAGCTGTGAGCCATCAGCACTGAGGTTTCCAGCAGCTGGAGGATGGGGGCACTAGCCCCGATGAGGGATCTGGATGGGGCACCAGAGTATCCACTACATTATTCCAGATAGACTTGCCTCTGGCTTGAATAGCTTAATCTAATTGAAGTTGCCCTCTTGCTCTTCTGCTTCACCTTCCACCTGCCAGTCTGTACCTGATGGTTTGAAATTTGTTTTGATTTTTTTTATAGTCTACAATTCCTTTGTATGCTATTCAAATGACCCTCCCCTATCAGAGGGCCAGTTTTACTCTAACTAATGAGACGGAGTCAGGGTTAGAAAATTAAAGAGATTCCTCCTCATTCTGTCACATTCCAGAAAAGGATCTGTAGGCATTGCCAGATGGCATCAAGAATATCCCAAGAATCAGAAAAAGAGATATATTTGAGTGTCTTTTAGGACTTGATGTCATTTGATTCTAAATTACCCTGTCACCAAACCTGTCAGGATTGCTGAGGTCAGCACATCTGAGTTAAAGAGCAACCTAGGATTGTAAAACTATAGTACCATACAGTATAATATTATAGCATAATATCATACTAGTTTTAAAGTACTATGTATTATTAGACCATAGTACAGTGCATTATAATACTTTGGAATAATAACAGTATACCACTGTAGTATAACAGTAGTGTAATATTCTTTGTAGGAAAGGACTATGGGGCTTCTTAACCTTTTCATCTATGTAATAAACAACAGATGGAATAGTGGATTAGTTTATCTATTGCTTCATAACAATTATTTCAAAACTTAGCATCTTAAAAACAGCACACACACACATTCACTCACAGTTTCTGTGGGTCGGAAAACCAGGCACAACTTAACCAGACCTCTGCTTCAGGGTCTGTCACAAGGCTAGAGTCAAGGTGTTGGCCAGGATTATGGTCTCATCTGAGGGCCCAACAGGAAAAGAATCCGCTGTTCCACTTCCTCTTGTGCTATTGACAAGACTTCATTCCCTGAGGGTTGTTGGACTGAGGGTCTCAGTTTCTTGTCAGCTGTTGGTCAGAGACCACTTTGCCATATGGACCTTCCCAGCATGGCAGCTTGTCTTATGAAGGGAACAAGATAAAGCAAGAAAGAGTGCCAACATACACATATACATATGTTTGTGTATATCTATATATTACTTATAACATATATAAAGTTTATAGTAAGTAAGAATTAAGGACAACCAAACCATTTATCAACAGAAAAATGGTTAAGTAAACTATATGTACATTTATACAATGGAATACTATGCATCAATTCAAAAGAATTAGATAAATCACATAAACTGATATGGAAAGATGTCAAGGACCATAACTAACTGATAAAAGCAAGTTTCAGAATAATGTTTACAGTATAGTGGCATAAGCATCCTATATGCAAATATATATATACATGTGTATTTGTAAATGTATAAAGAAACATCAGAAAAGAATACAAACTCAACAGTGATTATCTCTTAGGAGGGATGTTGGATTGAGAGGCTGGAGGTATGAAGAGAAACTTCTTACTCTGGAATTTTACAATGTGTAATCATTTGTATAGTGCTAGCGTAATTGAAATTATTTTGATTTTGAAAATTAATTGTGTTTTCTGTGAAAAATAAATATATAATAATAGTTAATCTCTTAATAATAGGAAAAGCTGCCTGCATTGACAAGTTATGTATCTCACCTGAAGAACTGATTTCTCGCCTGGGCGAATTTGGACAGTACTGCCCTGTCAGCCTGGCAGAATCATATGAATTAGTTGATTGCTCTGTAACTGATTCCTTGGAATTTGCAGCAGAGTTCAGAGGGCACTATTATAAAATGAGTTCTCATGAAAAATTGAATGTAAGTTTGTTCCTAATTCTAGATATTTACTAGGGAAAGGAAATGTCTGTCTCAGAATTCATCAAACGGGAAGGGGTTAATACAGCTGGGAGCACCCAGGAACTGGGGACCAGGAGCCCCATTTTTGGAACCTTTGACTCTGGGACCAATGAGGCAACTCGGAAGCTAATCCTAAGACTGCATCCCAAGACATATTTTGGCACAAAGCAGAAGTTCAGGGTTAGTGATGGACCCTCCACCTGAGCCAGCTTGACAGGGAAGGAGATCCAATAGTGAGCCCACCCGTGGAGGGGATGCTGAGCAGCTGGGCTCAGCCCACAGGTGGGCCCCCAGGGGATTTCATTCCAAGGGTGCAGAAGGGAAGTCAAAATCAGTAGAAATGAAACAAGACCTGACTTACGTCTCTTATGCTTTAAACTTTCTTCTATTTTAATTCCTTATATACCTTATATTTCTGTTTAATGAAACAGAATAAAGATTTGTTCTGATATCATAATTTAATAATATAAAAATGTTGGTGGTTAAATTAATCAGATGCCTCTGAACATTTTATTTTCCTCTGAAGAATTCAAAATTTTTCTC